TAAGGAGACCAGGGATGCTGTTCTGTGGACTCAGATCGTTGTCGAAGGCTGCAGAGGTAGGAGAAATTGAAGATGATGTAGCATCATTAATTAAGAGACGTGAAGGAAGATTAGAAGGTAATGATGGAGGAGATGGATGGCAGTCAGAAGAAACTTGGGTGCTGACAGAGTTGTGAGGGCGGTTGACACTTCCCGGCTGCCCACACCGTGGAAGGCTATTTCTTCTTAAGGTACCTGAAAGAGATTTGTGTGACCGCAGAGCCCATCGGACATCTGCTTGAGGCCTGTCACACCCAGCCTTTTGAGTATGATTATTTTGAACTTTTGTATTTTTGGGGCCGGATGGTCGAAAGGAAACGACAAGTGAACCAACACCGCCGGCCCGGCAGATCGTGGAGTGTGTTATTTTTGGGGCCGACCTTTTCTAACCCCCCTTCCACTGAGAAGGCAGCATCAGCATGGCACTGCTGGTCATCCAAGGGAAACACCTTACTGCTGTCACACCCCATCCAGCTAGCAGCAGTACGACTTCGCCCTCAGACCCCCATCATAGTGTAGCAATTTACACTACAACGGTAACTGCTTTTCGTCTAACCACTATCCAACAGACCTTTCTGGTATGGTAGGACCTCGAGGGAACAAGTGTTCCACCAGCATAGCTCGTTGGGTCATTTTGATATGCAAGCCCGACCATCACGTCAAGGTAGCAGCTGTCGGTCGAGAAGAATACTAACAAAAGGACATGAGACTAGAAAGCTGAGCAGAAAACTTTGAATCACAGTTAAGCTGACCCAAGGCGTCGCTTCAGTTGCTTAAATTCCAACCCAAACCTGAATGGGATATAGATTTCCGTTCTTCTAGTCTCTTCGAGTTTGAGAGAGCTGTTTCAAACCTATTACAACACACAGTATCAGTATGAAAACCAGAGGTGGTTCCACCAGGTTGATCTATTTCACTGATCTTCCCAGTAGATAAAAAAGGAGAGAAGTCTTTTTCTGGGAAGCATAGGATGGTCTACTTAACGACCGTTGTGACGAGAGAGAAGACTATGGGTTTTGACCATAAGTATCTTCTCAGCATCGCTTGCGTGTGATGGAATCATCTTATGAGCAATTTCCAGCTTAGGAGAAGGGTACTAGGTAAGACAGGTAAGTTGTGAACCTTCCGTGACTGGGGTGGCTTGAACATGTACTGTGTATGCTCAGCCACTACTTACCTCGATGTACAGTGCTAGCAGAAGTCGGATTAGGTTGAAAGAGGGCTCAGGGTGACCAGATTAAAAAGTGGCGTTGGTGCATGAAGTGTCTGACTCCTGGTTTTAGATGTGTGTGTACGTGTAGACCACTTGGTTTGCAGCTTTGAGACGATAGGAACCAATGTTTGGAGACCCTTGGTGACACGACTGAAAGTCGATCACAATGGTGTAGATGTATTCTTTCTTTGACGTCTTCCAGAGCTTCAATGTTTTGACTAGACTTCATTTTTAAATTCTTTCTCCTCCCATACACCTTTGACTACTCCGATATAAGTCTTTTTCTATCCGTGTGCTTTTTGCATATTGGTATGAATTGTGGCAACATGAACCGATGCACTTCTGTGCAAGGCTCTGCGTTGATTTTGTGTCCGTCTGTTTCGACTGCAATGGACTCAGTAATAGGGCTAAATGTTGTCCATACTTTCGGTGTGATAATTAATTTAAATAGTGCTTGTAAGGATTGGAATGTAGGTGTTTTTGTCTATGAGAAACCACAGTTGCATCAATATTTAAACTTGATGTTATCTCACTCTGCTAAAGTAGTCTTAGTGAGATGTCTTATATTAGGATCGAGAAACTTACTTGGAAGACAATAAATGATAAAAGAAAAGCTATTACACTTATCTTGATCGATAAATTCGTTTGTAATCGTAACAAAAGTATGACTAGTGGTAGCACAGGTGGTGATAACAATGATGGCAATAATATCAGTTATGATAATTTCAATACTGTGACGAGAGAATTTGGAACCTTTCTGATGTTACCATACAAGGAAGGCATCTCATAGACATTGCAGGGGATTATCAATCAGGTTGAGATTAAAGTGGCATTTAATCTTACGAACTCACTTTGAAATAACGTTTTTATGTTAAAAATATTCTGTTTATCCAGTCAGGCAAAATAGTTTAGTTTAAAAAAATCTCTTCCAGCTATTGCAGGGTTAAATACACAGGTCCGGAGAGTTGATCACGGTCACTTGGGCTACTTGAGTACAAAAGCCTGGCTAAATCAAATCGGTAGACCCTAGTAAGATAAAGAATCTAGAAGACTCGGCTATAACTGTGTATGCAATTATACACAAACAATAAGACCGGCAGAGTTACAGTTATTGATAACTGAGTCTTTGTTTATCGAACCAGTAAAAATACGTGCAACAGGAATGACTAAGCACCTTTTCCAGATATATAAAAAGTCTTACCACTTATATCATGAAGGACGCGAGAAAATTAGAACAATATAGACCATGAGTGTTTCAAGGCTTTGGAATTATCTTGATGTGACTGGGGACCATAAGTTGAGTCCGAATTGCATTCTACTAAACAATACTGTTTCACTGTATTATTATTATTATTGTTATTATTTGTACCTTAGGTTCCTAGTGGAACATAGGGCTTCAGTAGCACGTCGCCATTGCACTCTGTTCTTTGCAGTCTTCTCAACCTCGCTCCACGACTGCCCACAAGCTTTCATTTCTTCCTCACACAATCTCCTACATGTCACCGTCGCCTCGGAAGCCAAACTCGTCGTTTCCCTTTTGGGTTCCACTCGAGGGCCTGGTCTAGCCTGATGCATGATGTCCCAAAATGGTCTTCTCAGTGTATGTCCAGTCGAACCCATCTCCACTTTCTCCTGCATATTTGTTGGGCGATGGGTTCTTGATTGGTTCGTTGCCAGCCAGTTAGCCGGTCAGCCAGGTAGCCAGCCGGAACGAGTTCTTTGTTGCTTATTCTTATTATTCTGGCCATCTGATCTTCAGTGTCGGTATCGAGTGTTCGTAGACGGCAGCTGTTGATGTATGTCTGTAGTTCGTTGGAAATGCTTTACGTGAGGTGCCAAGTTTTTGAACCATATAAAAGCACTAACTTAACTGAATTAGTGTTGGAAATCCGGATCATGTTCTTTATGCTGAGTGGAGTGGAGTGCAGTAGATCTCCACACTGGTTTCAGGTCAATGAAGGAAGGCCTGTGTTGCTGTCTTTCCGATCCTGGCTTTGACATCCTCATCTGTGCCATCTGTAGTTGAAACGATGCTGCCTAGGTAGGTAGGCATGATCCAGTCCAATCCAGTCGACCACAATCAGGAAGATGATGGGTGATAGTAGGCGACCACCTTGTCTTACTGTCACCTGTCTTCACTTCAAGGGTGTCACTGAGCTTTCCATTGTGAATCACTTGGCATCACTTAGCATCATATAGCATGTAGCTAGCTGTTGAGTGAGGTTGATGAAGATTTGTGGTGCTAAAACCGTAGTGTTGAAGCAGTTGCCGAGCTGCTTGTCGTTCGACGCTATCGAAGGCGTTTTCAGAGTCGATGAAGTTGAGGTAGAGAGTTGACTGGCATTCTGTGTTCTGTTATATGATGATGCATAGCGTAGTGTTGCAATTCGATCCTGACATGATATGTTTTTCTTGAAGCCAGCCAGCCAGCCAGCCAGCCAGCCAGCCAGCCAGCCAGCCAGCCAGCCAGCCAGCCAGCCAGCCAGCCAGCCAGCCAGCCAGCCAGCCAGCCAGCCAGCCAGCCAGCCAGCCAGCCAGCCAGCCAGCCAGCCAGCCAGCCTGTTCCGGTTGTAATTTTGAATCGAGCACATTGTTTAGTCTTTCCAGGAAGAGGTGGTCTAATATTTCGCCTAGGGTGGGCAGGGGTGGAGCATGATTCCCCGCCAGTTCTTGCAGTGACTTAGGTATCCCTTCCTCGGGAGTTTGATAAGGTAGCTCTTCTTCTAATCAATAGGCAGGTACCTATTCTTCCTTCCCAACGTCTTGTAATATTGGTGTGAGCATGTCCGCTGTTGTCTCTGTTTCTGTTTTCAATGCTTGTGGAGGAATTCCACTTGGTCCTGCTGCTTTCCCTGGATTTCAGCAACTTTAATGGTGTTTAGGAATTCACTTCTGCTTTTGTTGGAGGGCTTGTGTTCACTGGTAATTCTGTGGCTGGACTGCTGGTGGTGGTATTTCTGGACGAGTTGCAGTGGTGGTAGTGGTGGTAGTCGATTCAAGAGCCTTTTGTAGTAGTCATTCCATTGTTTCCTTTGTCTCTCCTCTTTGGTAACTAGGTTTCCTTCACTATCTTTCATTGGTTTCATCCATGTTGATCTCTTCCTAGATGGTAACCTGGTTATTCGATATAATGTTGTCTGGTATCTCTTACCAGCAGCCTGTTCTGCTTCACTTGCAAGTGTGTCGTAGAAGTGTCTTTTGTCTTTCCGCGCACTCTTCACTTCTTTGTCTAGTGTACTGTTTTGTAGGTTGTGTTCAGTTCCTTTTTTCGTTGTTCATCTTCTACTTGACTATATAGTATGTCCAATAAATCAATTAAAGTAAAATTTACGTGTTGGTATGTATGGGTATTTGAACTCAATATGCACATTTGTTAATTTGTCATGTACCAACTTGATATATTGAAAGTTGTGTCAGGTGCGAGTTACTGGAACGTTATCGTATGTGTTTTATTACTTTTCAAATCCATTGATGACTATTAAGAACTAGCTGAATGTTGGATAAAATCCTGGTTGAATAACTCCCAGGCAGATAATTTGAACCATCTAGTTGGTTTTAGTTGTGTAGTACTACATAAATTCAGTTAAGCACAAGGCTGACAGAAAGAATGATTGCGTGCGTGATCACTGATTGTGATAGGATCAAGTATTCCATTATCACTTGGTGATAAATCTTAAGAACTAAAGTTGAGTTGTTTTATTTTATCATTTTTAGTCAGTTTCACCTGTAGTTTGTCTTATTTTTTAAGGTTATTTTAATGTCTGCCACTCTGGAGGATACATCCAAGGTAATTAGACGGTACCTGGTTAAAAACGCCGACTGGGTCCGTGTAGAGTTACCAGAAGAGGCTTTTCTACCAGGAGAAAACCAGCTTACACAATATATCATTAGGTATGTCATCAATTGCTCAATCACCTTGTTTTGGTATGCTGTTCCTTGATTCTTTTTTCCATTTTTAACTCTTTGAAGAATATACCAATTATGTGTAGTGTATCGGTAGTGTCACGGGACAAGATGAAGGATAGAGACCAACATAAAACCTGTTTTTATTATCCATTAGTCCCAGTCACTAAACTTGACATTAACGCATTCTGTTGAAATCGACAAAAGGCAGTGCAAGAACATTTTACTTTCAAGCTTCACTGGGATGTCGGTAAATATGGATTCCAAGGTCTTCTAAGAAATATATTAGTTTCACCGATTCTCCCGGTTTTATCATGAGGATTTGTCCTTATTAAGTTGAGTGCTCTACGGTAAAGTCACTATGGGAGTGATATTCAGTCCTATTACTGTGATTTATTGATTATTCATTCTAGTTGATTAGAATCTGCTGCACGCACATGTTCCATTTGAGTTCCAGCTTCAGTTTTGGCAAGGATTTTGAAGCTACATATCAGTGTCTTATCTGCGTTGCGAATAGATGTGGGTAAATGGGAGCTCACTCAACAACCTTTGTTCACGTTTGTGCAGTAAGCTATGAGCCACACCTATTGTGTGAGGGTTAGTGACACACCTCGGTAGGTGGAACTGGGTTAGAACCCATGATCCATTAGTGTAGGTGAGATGCAACTCATTTTAAGTGTTCCTATAATTGTTCATCTTCCCACCAATTTTAGTTTTGAATAAATTCCTAACCCATCTTTTTTGAGTGATATTCTCACCGACTATCAAATTTTACTCCATTTCCATTTCTATGCAACTACTTTCTGTCATTGATGTCTCATATTTACATCACCAAGTCAGAAGTTGTTTCTTTTTATCCATCAGTCGAAATTAATTGGTCTTTCTTCTCCTTCCGATGGTTACTTACAAAACCTACCGCTGTTTTGATAACAGGTTAAAAAGGATGACATTGATATGGAATGCACAACGTTGTTTACAGACTATTTAATATAAGTGTAAAACTTGGGTACTAGCAGAATGTATTTCCGCGCTAGGTTTTTTTATTTGGTATAGAAAACAGTAATCTAATATTATTTTACTTCATCAAGTAAATAATCAAGTAGATGATCAAGTAAAAAGTCTGATATAGAAGACTCACTGTTTTTCAACTTTCCTCGAAATGGAGATGCACTATCGTGGAAATTGTGGATTATCCTTGGTAAAGACCTTACTACTGTTATACTTTATTATAATAGCGAATTTAGTGCTGAAAATTTGCGTCTGAATTGAATAAACTGGTGTGACAGTGTGTCGAATGATGACTGATAAGCTACTCTAAACTGTGCGCATAAATCGTTTAGTTTGGCATGATATTAAAAGGCAGAAATAGTGGGTAGTAAAAGTGATATTACAGAACAAAATAACTAAATAGTAGTGTATAACTCAGCAATCACGTGCAGGTTTGAGTGCTAGGGAATCAACCACTTTTATTGTGTAAGGGTTTATGATACTACCTGATTGCTCATATCTCTGTAAGTGAAGCGGGTTCCAACCTATGACCTACTGGCTAAATATCGACAGCCTATACCAATAAGCCTCAGCTTAACACTACGCGTAGAATGTGCGAATTAAAATTAACATGAATTGAAATTATTCAGCACTTAACCAATACTGAAATAAAGGTAAATTAAGTCGTTAAGTTACCTGTCGGAAAGAAGATAAGCGTAATATTTAGCCGTCATTTCATATGTCGGTTAATTCAGCAATATAACTTTGTCTTTGGGCTTGAGGTTATCTGCTTCAGCTTCACATCTCTTTAACCTGTCTTCATTTAGCGCTGGATCTATGATGAATAATTGTTTGCACCAGCATAAGATGGATGGTTCATTGGGATAGATAAGCATGGTTACTACAAAGGGTATTATATAGGGTTAGGAAATTGCATGAAAAGGGTATTACCGAGCAGTTTCTGGAGTTATGCTTTTAATTTCTGGTGCTAGGTAAGTTATTTCAGGGTTGTGTTCACTATATGCTGCTTATCGTCAAAGATAAACTGGTTATCGTATATCGTCCTTAACTGGTTTTGTAATTACAACAAGCGGATGGTTGATGACCACTTATTCCTCCAAAGTATCTGGCATTTATTACACTTTTCATACACTAATGGTAGGTCCTCTCACTTAATTCTTGGTTATTTTTGAGGACCAGCATTTCATATCATTGATGTGTGTATGGGTTCTCTTACCATTTATTTACTAGCGCCGAAGATGAAGATAAGTATGCCATCTTGATTGCATTGTTCAAATTGCGAATAGTCCGTGGCAAAACGCTAATTTTTACAAATTCTGTTGACCGATGTTATAAGTAAGTTCCTTGAAGTGGTTTTATTACTTTTTTGAATGTTTGGGTTTTTATAAACTTATTAGCCTTTTCTCTCTGAGAATTATGGATTTGTGGAAATAACTTGACTGAGCGAAAATGTAATTAGCAGTGCGTTGCTTGTAGTTCGCTATCATTCCCATCCTGAAAAAATATATTACGACCACACCTCTATTTTTTTGATTTCAAAGCCTTCTATGCCTGTGTTCATAATGTTTCTGTACCTCTGCATATACAGTCTGGTACTTTCAGGTACATGTGAAATAAAGTCATTAGGCTAACCTTACAAGAAGCAAGTGCAATTTATTGATTATTTTAAGGTTCATTTTCTAGATGATGTGGTCTGACTATTTTTGAGAACTACTATACCTAGTTGAAACAGGGTTGAAAAAAGCAAATATTGGATCTGCTCAAGTTATCACACTTCATAACAGCATAGTGAATGGGTAAAGGCCAACATAATAGAAAATAATATAAATGAGCTTAAGACAAATACAAAAGTAAAGGATCGTTAGTTCAAAAAGTTAAACAATTTGATCTGTAGTATAATTTCAAGATTCAAACGATACAAATTATGAATAAATAAACCATGCTTACTTTAAAATGTGATAACATCCTGTTCAGATGCAACTTTGGGATTTATTTCCGACGTACACTTACAGATGACTTGGTGGAAAATTGGTTGCGAGTTTAAACCAGATAGCAGGATAAATCCTCAGGTAAGCCCTGCTAACGAGTACCAAGATACTCGAAACCTGTGTAAAGCTGCATGGCTCAGTGGTTTAGGGAGATATCTTTCAACCAGTCGGTCATGGGTTAGAACACCGCTCCACCTACCGAAGTTCGCGTAAGCAAGTAGTACTGTAGTGGGTGCTACTGATAAGAATGGATATAAGTAGTATATAGTAAGAGGTGGACAGAAGTCATGGGTAATTTAGAGCGATGGTTAAATATTCCACACAGAGAAACGTAAGAGAAAACGTGGGCGTATGAAGACCAAAACCAGGTAGAAGAAGAAGAGGAAACGAAACACATTGTATAAATGAATATTTCAATGGAAGGATTGCCATATCTCATCAGTATTTTACCGTGTCATAATAAACGTTCTGCGTTTCATCCCTTACAGTATCTTATAGTATCACTAGCTCTCACACAATAGGTGTGGCTCACTGCCTACCGCATGAATGTGCACAAGGTAGCTGAGTGCGTTTCTATTTCGATTGGAAACCTAGATCCAAGGCTGCCTGCTGGTTACCCTCATCTATCCAGATACTTCACTACTCATTAACCAGTCTGGTCGAATAAAAATAGAACCACACTCAGCAACCTTGTGCACATTCGTGCAGTAGGTAATTATTACTATCATTATTAAAATTAGCTACACTTATTGTGTGTAGGCTAATGGTACTACTTAGCTACCCGCACCTCGCTAGGTGTAGCTGTTTTCGATCCACTTACCCACTGGTTTAGAGCTAGCTGTCTAAACCAGTGAGCCACAATTCCAGCTTGGTAGTCAGAAATTGAATGTGTACAAATTAATATTCACAACTATAAAATTGGCCATGTGGCTGATTTGTTTTGTCTGATTTGGAAAATACTAGCAAACTAAAGACTTGTGCGCACCTCTAGATCACAGCACATCGATTTTAAAGATTTCGATCCAATGAAACTTTTCTCAAAAACAGGAAATGATAGCAATATGTTTGAAAATGTATTTTTTAGCTGCACTAGTCCTGACACGGAGTTAGAATGTGACTCTTAAAATCATGATTATAAAATAAGGAATATCACCAGTGGTTCAAACGTAAGAAATTCGTGGTGAATGGTTATGTATGTGTGATAAAATTACCAGGTCTACCTATCTTCAAATACGAAATGTAATTCTTTATTCTAACTTGTTTGTATCTGAAATGATTTAACAGAGAACATGTCTTCTTTTAGACTCCGACTGTTTCTCGAAGAGTTCGGAATTAGAGCGGCATTGTTAAATTCAGAATTACCAGTCAAGTCACGTTCTCACGTAATCGATCAGTTTAACCGAGGATTGTATGACTACTTATTGGCTACTGACGAGTCACAGACAAACCATATTGCGTCGAATAGTGAGGGAAGTAATAAAGCCCCTAAAAAGTAAGTTTTAGGTGAGATCATTTATTTGGTTTTTGCATATTTCTAAGCAACTTTAATATTGATAATCGAAAATGAGTTGCAAAGCCAGCCAAAAACAAATTAGCATCTGCATAATGTAATACGCATTTGGGAATGGAATTTCTGTGAGTTATCGACATGATATCAGTAATCAATGCACCTAAATTTAATAATTTTTCACATTTCTCATATTACTATTAACTTACTAGACCAACAAATAATCTTGTCCATTGATGCTGTAATTTATGTGGAGTTATCGTGCAAAATATCGGAAATAGGAAAATGACCCGAAAAAGAATAGTTTCGGGAACCGTATAGGTTCGTAAACCATTTGAAGATTAGATTCAACTGCATAACTGGATTCGATTTTTAGTCTTGTTAACTTAGCTGTTTGACTGTCGAATTCTGCCACTATAGGTTAAAAAGTTTACGGATCTCCACATGATTCAAATCAGTAACTTCATGTTTTACTCACATTGTAGTCTGATGTCCTCGAGATTTCATCTACTTTATTAGTTTCTTGATAAAATGGTTTGTTAACAAAGAAAGTGCTGGAGCATTTTAAACGCTAACTTTTTCAGTTGGTCTATGTTCGCCACCTTTCTTAGTGGCTTCCTGTCTAAAATTCCTGGTTTCTGCCTACTATTATCTCACAAAGAACTGAAAGGGTATAAGCTGGATTCCACTTTAGGATTCGTAAAATGTTTTTACTACTGAGACTGCTTAATCATCTTAAGTCATGAAAAGTCTTTGAATTTCTCAGTTTATACCGATTTTGGTTAAAAGCGTCCTTGATTATAAGTAACTAGTAGCCATCCGCAGGAAGGTTCGAAGCTGAATTTCTTGCTTACTGACACTCGTGAGGTGTATCTACCACCACGAACTGTGTGACCAAAGCCGTAGTTTGCTAATCACAATAAAAACTTGGTCAATAGAATTTGATTAACACTTGAAACTAAACAACATGTGAGAAGGAAGTGGATAAAAAAAATAATATAAGGGATGATAAAAGTGTATGAGAGCAGAAAAAATTGACTCATGTAAATTCATAAAAATATTCAAGACTTCGAAATGGTAAATATTTTGCATGAACGAAACGAAAACGAAACTCACTCAACCACCTTGTGCACATCCGTGTAGTAGACAATGAGCCACACCTATTGTGTAAGGTCTAGTGATACTATCTGATTGCTCAAACTTCCGTGGGTGGAGCTGGATTCAAACCCGTGGCCTACTGGTTGATAGTCACCTCCCTAAGCCACCATGTCACTGAGCGTCTGACCACTGATTCCTGTTATGTCGAGGGATCCATTCAGGTAACCTGCATATCTCTACACGGCTGATAATCAAAGACTTTTGGGATTGATACCACGCCTTGATGCGATCATTTTAGCCTTCTTTCAACCCTATCCTATTTCACTTAACATCGCACGCCGATATAAGCACTGGCTTGACATGCGCTTTGAAACTCATACCACCAACTGATTTGCCCTCCTTGTCTAGTACCCTACGCCTAACCCTGTCGTTGCTTACGCGGTGACTCTACTATACGTGAACAGTTATACGAAGATATCTGTGGTTATATCTGACTAATTCTGATCATCGATAATTCCAACTTCTAAGAAATGATTTCTTTCTGTGATAGACACATGATAATTGGCCTTAATAAGGTAATGTCTAAGGTCTTAGGATCTGTGATCATTTGTGCTTGACTTAAATGCACGAATAGCTAACTCGGAAAATTAGGCATTTTTGAGACCTGGATGGGAGTGCATTGACCTAACCCATTTTTCTTTCTTCATCTAATTACTTTGTCACTTGTTGTACTGATATGAGAAGTGGGACCTTGAACCATTACGCAATAATGCCTAGTCTTATGTTAATATTGACGTTGGTGCTTACAACCAATTACTTTGGTTTTTGACCTTAAGGTTGCATTTCATTCTGTGGGTACATATGTATTGTGGTAGTGTCTGGTCACATAGGGAGTTCTGATTAGGTATATTGTTCTAATCAAAGTTTTCCAATTGAATTCACACAGCTCCATGAAGTCTCGTGGAGGTATGTCGTCTGAGTTAATGACTGTTAACGTTATCGACCAAATATGTAGGTGTGGACCTGCAGAATTATTACATGCCATTATTTTCGTTTATTACTTTGATCTTTATTCATATGTTTACCTATTTGACCCATTATAGAAGAGGTAGTCTAAACAAGAAGTCGAACAGTGTAGTACTAATGCTCTACTGTCTGATATGATGCAAATCAGCAATCAAGTATAGTTTTGTAATTGACAATAAGTTACGCATGTTTCGAACTGTGACTCTATTGGGCTACCCAAACGTCGCTAGGCGAATGACCGTTTAACCCATGACTCATTGTGCTAAGGTCGGATGTCTTATCCAATGAGCCACATTCCCACATACAGAAACGATGATAACTGAATCATATCAGTGATTGTAACTTAAAGGTTTTACAATGCAAATAATGTGATCATATCTACTGGTCTCTAAATGTGTTCAAGGTTAGCTATTTTATTGTTGATCGAACATATGTATACCGAAGTGGGTAATGTCCTTTTCCTTTTTACTTCGTAGACAAAGACATCGCGATGCTGAATACGGTGTATCTAGAGGAATAGATTTTCAGATGGTGAGTAATGTTATTAACTTCGACTTTCCTCCAACACCTACCCTCTATGTTCACCGTGTTGGAAGGACCGCTCGAGCGGATCAAATGGGAACAGCTTTATCATTTGTAAGTAAAGCAGAAGAGGGTCGTTTGGCTGATGTTGAAGCCTTGTTGAATCCTGCAGGCGCAGCTGCAGCAAAACCAGGTTTAACTGATGAAAAAAGTAAGTTATTTTTGAATTCTTTAACATAGCTGAAAATGTAAGGGAATTTTTTAGTTAACATTAGGATTTGGCTTATTGATTCAAAATCTAAGTTTATTGTTAAAGGTATAAGGTACTTATGATTATGATTAGCGTATAATTTGCAGGTATATGAATAATTGTTTTCTACACTGAATATAAAGCTGTAGGGAAATAATGTATGTACAAACCTTAAGGTTTATAAGTTATATTTTGACAAATCTCAGTGTGTTTGAAATAAATCCCAACGTTTCGCATGGAAGTCTAATTCGAACTTCTTTGTGAAACTATCCGGTCAAATCTTGACCAGGATTCATATAAGCCTTAAGGTTGTTAGTCAATTATCTTATTGCGATGGGGAGATTCGACATTACTTCGTTTTGCCTATATCTTTTGGTTTGGTTTAGATAGGATAACGTTGCAACTATTTTCCCTTAGCGCTAACGAATCTGTCGTGTCAGAAATTAATTTTTAAATTTCTAAGTAATATCAAGCAATAAGTCCGACTCCAAGTAAATGATGAGAGCGTGTAAAAAAACAGACTTTCCGAATGGTAATTGCAGATGCAATAGTGGTAGATAATTTCACATAGTGACATGATTTTCAGTTAGTTCTGAACTGATAAAGTTTCACGTTGCTGTTGATATACTTTTCTTAACGAAATTGTTTAATTGTGTTTCCCCCATGTAAAAAAGTGGCATTGTAGCTTTTTGTTCTGAACAATCAACTTCAAATCATTAGTTTACGAGCTGGGACTTGATTGCATCTTCCTTGATTTAGAAAGTCAAGTCCTAACATAGCCTTCACACAACAGAAGTGGTTCACAGCGTGAACTAGTTTGCCCAAATGAATATTTGAAACAGCTTTCGTATATAATTAATCGATCAGCGTCAGCGTACGACCAGGCATGACTGCGCAACGGTCCAAGTTGCCAAACCTCATATCTGCACAACAAGTAACAGGGTAACAAAAGAGATGAAGGAAAGGAAAAAAAGAAAAAAATGGCTAGAAGCAGTACAAAGTAGTAGCAAAGAAGTCATAGGAATGAAAAAATGCTGAATTTAATGCAGCGGTTGGGATGAAGTTAATGTGTGTATGCATCTGCACCACTGATATGGGTTCTGAGCTATATCACCTATAGTCTCCAACAAATGGTTTCTCTTGTCCTGCAGACCGCAACCGGCTAGTCTGCATCGCCCTACATATGGCTCAAACCAACAGTCAAGGATTTCATACATTGATGCCATGTTTTAGTCTGGCTGTCCCGAGCCTTTTTCCAGCCTGAACCTACGCCGGCCAACATTGTACGACGAGGCAGACGGGGGCTAGGCATACGTAACATGTCTCAGTCATCTCAGTCAATGTAGGTTCACAACTGCATCAACTGATTCACCTCTACTCCCTAAAACACTACACCTGACTTCTGCATTACTCATTTGATGACACCACGAAACACGGCCTATGCTACGGAGGGAACGGTGGTTGCCTGGACTGATAAAGGTTCGCGATCTTATCAACTGACCTTCTTGTCCTTTCTAAAACTCTGTACTTGACTTCTGCATTATCGATGTGATGACGCCACAATACACGGTCTATGCTCTGAAGGTAATAGTGGTCAAATGCCTTTAATGGTCATATTTCACAGCCATACAGTAGAACAGAGTGAACTGCAGCACACTACACTCGACCCGTCGGCAATCAGATTTCGTGGCGGTGCCTCGATTGGCTTAAGTTTGGAAAGCCAACCAAGCCTTTTGTTTCCGTGCAGAGGTTTTGTCGGCCAATGACCCACCAGGGCTGATTCAGCTTTCCAGTTAAGTGACGTGATCAACGCACGTAATGACTTCACTGTTTATTGTTGGACAGAAAACCGCTGAAGACCAGTCTTGGGGCAACAACTTACATTTGGTTAGTGAGAAACTCATCCTAAACATTCTGAAATTGCCACTCAAGGTGTTCAGAAGACTGTATCTTGGCAGTGTCCTCATCTAACAGAACTATATCAGCCGCGTATTCTAGATCCTGTGATTCTACCAATCCCTGTGATGTGAAATGGTGTGAGGGATACCTCTATGAGAATATCTGTGATAAAATTGATCAGGAACACTATAACACATTTCAAAGATCGCTAACAATTTATGGCTAAAATTGACGCTGGAATCGTTGAATTTTGGTACTATCTTTTAAAGGCAACTATCAGTTGTTATGTCCTGTTTACATTCCAGGATTAGTCGGAAAAAAATCTGCTTGTTATCAACTGTCGATTAGTAGTTAACCTTGTTTGAGCTCATGAATTACCTTGTTTACTCATTATGGATTCTTTTTTCGTAAACAAATTAAACGTAATGTAATGTAACTGAACCACTTACGCGTCTGTGTACTAGTCTAAAAGCCACACTGAGAGTTTATGATACAACCTGGTTTCTCAGGTCGAAGTGGATAGTATAGCTACGGTTAGTTTCGCGTTCGCATAGCAACAATGATGATACGTATCTGTTTCTTACGCTAAACAACTTGGATTCGAGTTTTAAAAGAACCACCACCTTTTCCTGGAGTTTCTATTCGTTAACTCATTCAAAGGGTAGGGTACGACCCGCAACCATTGTATGAGGGACATTTATACTGTCTTATTTCCAGTCCTTGTTAATGGGAGGATGTTTCAATCCCATTACTCACTGCAACTGTTCCCGACAGTATATCTTCACTTGTACACAAGATGCAGTTGAGATGATTGCTGTATTAAATGATCACTTAGTTTCTCATAGTTCGAATAACGTGAAACTGATCGGCTGACATCTTACTGAAGCATATTATTTGACGTTTTATGCAAATGATATGTTTTCCACAATTTTCTATTTCCTCGTTTCTTGTTGGTACTACTTTAATGTATCGCTTCAGTACTTAACTATTTTCTTTGTCTTTCTATATTGTAGATGTCGCTTCATCTATTTTCAGACCATATCAATTCCGTCTTTCTGAAGTTGATGGTTTTAGATACAGAGCAGCCGTAAGTTTTGCATTAACATGAAAAACGGTATATTGTAACGTATGTTTTCAAAACCACCAATTAAAACTAAATTGTTATGTATCTTAAATTTCTGTGTCTGTTTGTTACAGGATGTGATGCGTCATATAACCCGTAAAGTTGTCAGAGAAGCGCGTTTGAAAGAAATTAAGATTGAACTGCTCACTTCAGAACGCTTGAAAGGCTACTTTCAGGATCATATACCAGATTTAGAAGCTCTTCGCCATGATAAACCACTCAAGCATGTCGCTCAATCACATCTCAAAGACGTACCAGACTACTTAGGTGAGTGCACTTCGTCGAAATAAAATCCAGGCTTCGATATTTTGATTTATGTCTGATCGTTTTCACTTAGCCAACGGGTGCCAACTTCCCTGTTATTTTGGATCTCTGTCATAAAATATTACTCAGAAGTTATTCCCTACGCATACTAAGGTGTAGTAACGAGTACTATTCTCATTGTCATTTGACTATCTAAGATAGCCATAGTTTGACAGACTAGTATTTATAATGAGTGATGATTGAAGGTGAGATGAAAATCTGGACCGCGGCCGGATTCGATCCAGCGACCACCGGGTGATCATATAAATACTATTCTTATCGTCTAATATTGTATACAAACAACATGATTGTTGCTGTAAATATTTCCTGTATATGTTGATGCAAACCATTTCCAAAATCAATAATGTGGAATTTACACGCTCATAGACACGTTTGGTGATTTAATCTGAGAGTATACAAGCACTGGTTATTCACTTTAACGACGTAAGCCTAGCTGTTCATAACCAGTCAGCAAATGGAGTCAAGAGAGAGGTCTTAACGATTCACAGTTCTAGGTTATAATGACAGCTACTTGTTGAGAAATAGTGAAACTTCACCATGGTCTAAAAGAAAATTGTACATATGCTCTGTTTGATTATGTGGTGTGATGAATGCGTAAATAAAAGCCCTTTGATACATATTACTGACTGATATCCATGTTTTCATACCGTTGTTTTTTTCTAGTGGTATAAAAAGATTCATTCACCTGGATTTCCGGTCTTTCTTAGCTTTTGCTTATCATTTGAAATTTCATGGACATCAGCCATTTAGCCATCTACCGGAATTCCATTGTCAGAGGCACATTTGTGGTTCATGCTATTGAAACAACCACGATCAACACTTTATAATCCAGCAGTAGTGGGTAAAGTGTTGAAGATTGATATTACTCCCTTCGTTCTTTAATTTAGCTCTTCACCATCAGACGGTGCATCAGTCTCTATTCATGCAGTAAACTTTGCTTAGTCTAGTAGTTTGGACTGGATTAAAGGAGTATGCAGTGTTAACAAACCTATAACCTGTTCCTCAATGATATTTAAGAAAGATATTTTGTTGGGGTATATACATTTGGTGCTAACCGTGTATCTGTAAGTTTCCGTAGAAAAGCAATCAAAACACCTATAAACATAGTGGTAAAGATGTGGTGCATTAGTTAAGACACTTGAATTTCTAGCTACAGGTCCCGAGTCTGGTTCCAGCGCCACATGTTTTATCGCGGGCAATCGAGTAATATCATCATTTCTTACACCGTAGGTGTGATTAAGAGCCTGGTAAACAAACAAGTATCTGGCTATTCAGTTAAACTAGATGAAACTTAAAAAATAGTAGTTACATCTACCATTGACTTAGTAAGTATCTGGACGAGTTTGGTTGACATTTCCCGTAATTTCGTGCTTTTCAAAACACCAGATAGCAACCTAACAGAAAGAACGGTATTACTAGCTATAAGTAAAATACTGAAAGTCTAAAAGTCTTGTCAAACAACTTGGGGGATTTACTCAGAAATCACCTGTAGTAATAAATGACACAATTCGATCTGGAGACAGTGAAAAGAAGAATCGCAACAAATATAGCGACTCATTTTAATTACAATAAAATCTACCCCACTGGACTATGAAGACATTAAACTTTTCAGATAAATTCGTCAGTTTATGTGACACTCTGACACCATGATTTCATTGATATCTATCGAGTTAGGAGGACTGCGATTCGGTGCATATTTTGACGGAAACAAAAGTAAGCTGACGAGGTTAGTAATTTGTATTGACTGAAGTTAGTCGGATAAGTTATGCTTTTCCAATAGTCACCGGATCTAATATAAAGTCATGAATGGAGACGGTTTAATCTTACGAAAGCTGAGTCGCCTGGGAAAGATACGCCATGAGTCTGTCAACTCAATAATATTTGGTATCAGCCATGTGGGATGGGGTCCTTGATATACCAAGAGTAGGTCAGATAGACAGATCATCATAGAACCAGGGATTATTGCGTAATAGTCCAAGTTGCCGCAAATCATATCAGCACATCAAGGGGGAAAGCATTAAGATGAAAGATTAAGACATAAAGACGAATGCAGTTTGAAGTGGTAGAAAGTTGTAATACGATGAGAAGGAGAAATAAGAAAAGACTTATTCAATGTAATAATCAAGATTGGGATGATGTGCGGATACAACCGCCGTTTAGATCAATTCTGAGCCATGTCACCTAGAGTCTCCAACCACTGGTTTCTCTTGTCAGACGGATCCTAACCCGATAATCTTCGTTTCCCTACATGAATCGAACTTTTAGATTACTTTTGAAATTGTATTGGTATTGTTTTAACTAATCGAAACAAAACTCTTCCAGTGAAGACAAATGCATTTCTATGCACTAGGCAATGAGCCAACGCCTATTGTGCTGGAACGAATGATACTACTTCGGTACCCAGTGTGTGAGCCTCTTCGTCGATTCAATGTTTTCTCTTTTTTGATTTAAGAATTTCTTTGATTTATGAATCACATGGTCTGCTTTGATGTCACTCTTTTTCTATCCACTCGGTCCTTGGATACTTCTGTGGATTGTAGCAATTCGAACCGATTCGCTTGTGTGAGAGGTTATACGTTGGTTTTGTCCGTCTCTCAGTCACAGATAAATTTGATCAGTTTAGTTTTGATTAATACTATCCAGGTATTAGACAAATAAGCGTACAGCATTTAATGATTTTAACTTCAGGTATGCAATATGCACAAAGCTAACTTATCGAATTCACCTTTTCTTTTGGTACAATTAATTTTTAGTTCCTCAGTCCTTAAAAGCTCTTATGCCAGGGAGTTCTCAGGGTCGTAAAAGTAGCATGAGGTGGAAAAGACGAAATTTGCATACAGATGAAAAACCGAAACCTTCATCCAGTGATCTTAAAAAGCGCTTACAAGTGAAACACAAACAGGCTAGAAAAGTGAGTTATTTCTTAATGGTATTCGATTCTGGGTAGTGATTGTCAATAGTGCTGCCTACGTTTGCTAATTTATTTTTGCCTGTATACATGATCCGCAAGTCTGAAGTTTCATTTATTTTCTGTCGCATGTAAATTTTTTCCCATGGACGTTTTAGGTTGAGTGATTCATACCTGTATACAGTGATCCATTTTAAGGATTTTATTTGTTACAATTCCTTCACCAGTACGTGTCAAATTTAGAAAAGATTGATGAAGACTCTACGCCAAAATAAACATATTATTGGTTGAATATGAATATTCACTCACACCCAATTCCACGTCGTTGCTGACTCCATTGAAATCTACTTAGCTAACTTGTGCGCATTCGTGTAGGAGGCAGTGAGCTACACACAGTGTTATGGCTGATGATATTACCAGGGTACCCAAACCTTGGTAGCTGGAGTGCTGTTGAAACCCGTGAAACACTGGTTGTAAGTCATGTGCCTAAACCAATGAACTACAATTCTACTGGTATTTGCACATAAGAAATGAATTGTGGACAAATATCTGGGCAACTGGATTTCCCATCTCACATACTGTATCAGATGTTTCTACGCTTTTCTGTTTTCATTTTATTATGACCTCTGATTGTATTATATTTCCATACACATTTTTAAAAAGTTCACAGCATATTAGGATGCTTTTGTCAAACAAGACGAGGGAAAAGCATCACGGTGGATGTCAACGTGCTTTGAAGCGAATCATTATTTAAAATGACTTTACCTAAAATTCTAAGCACAAACTTCATCTCCATACAGCGAAAAGTGGATTATGTACGGTCTCTGTTATCCTCCAAGGTGTATCGTAATGGTGTGTAATTATATTGCATGATCTCTATGATGATAATTTGATTTCTCTTAATGGTTTCAAAATATTCTGTCAGGATCGGCGTAGCTTTAATAAGCAATGTGTAGGAGGTGTAGCTACCTTCTCAGTACCCATTGATGCATTTCGAGTTACATATGCTTCAAATTCTCAAATAATTACACTGAATACATCACTGTAAAATTCCGCCCAAAAGATCTAGATAAATACGCTTTTATTTTTATCACAAATATTTATTTGACATCCAGTTGCAGTTACTCTGTCTTTGGTGTTTGAATCCCACATACAGTGTTGTTCCCTGTCGATAGTATGTAGTGATTTTAATTCTTGTAACCGTAGTTTTCCTAAAACCTTTGGTAATCAAAACTTTGTTAATTCCACAAAACGTCAGGATGTAACACTATACTTGCTATTCGTCAATGCCACTCATAAATGCGAAACTCGTAAGAGAGCCTCACTGCTTAACTCAGATCATTGTATTGTACGTGTTTTGCCCGAAATATGTGGTAAGCTGCACAAAACAACCATCATATCAGTATAAGAAAGTCGTACATAGAAACTATTTACAAAGGAAGATACTTCGATTAAGAAGAGTTCTAAAAGGTATAGACTAGAATATGATTTAACAGTGGTGTTTTTGAAAGATACTATCGATTGTGCGACATGCTATCTCAAGTTTTGCTGAGATATTTATTACCTTAGTGAAAAACTATTTTTGAGATTCAATCGCATATCTTCTTTTCAGCTTAAGAGACTAAGAAGAGGGAAAAAAAGGTTATATCAAGTAATTATGAACGCTGGTGCTCGATTGAACGTTTGAATTAGGTTTGGAATTAAACGTCTGAGTCTAGTATATTACCAGGAACTTTTGTCATGCAAAAGCTCTAAGGACCTCACTAGCAGTAAACACCTTGCGTCAACGTCTGTGCTTTGAACAAATCGTTTATGAGCTAACCCAACTATCCCATTCTGTCAACCTAGTTCCAATGAAAAATATTGTCCTAAATCCACTGAGAACGTTTTCGAGTGTCTCAAATCCTTGAACTCTTTACACAGTTTGGATCTGGGTGGCATGTCAAGTTTTATGTTAATGAAATGTGCTGATATATTATGTCATCCACTAACTAACATGTTTAATAGGTCGTTTTCAGAAAACACTTTACCAGCTTCCTGGAAAGATAGTCCCCGTACATAAGTCGGTGACTCTTGGCGCATATCTGATATTCCGTCCAATTGCCGTTGCTTTTCCGTTCTTGACAGTGATATAAACAAAGCATTGACCTACTTTTGATTGGTTTAATGAACAGCTAGTGTTGTGATCAACCTAGATGTAATTCTTTCAGAATTCTCGTAGATTCGGAACAAAGGTTGGTTGAAAATTAGCTCCCTTTCACTGCCTGTTGTCATCCGTGTTACATAATGAACCTGTTTTCCCTGAAGCTTATCTTTTCTGCAAGTTTGTTTTTCGAAACGACATTCTTATTCTGTTGAAGTGTTTTCACCAGACCCTGTTCGCATCTGACAGTAAAAAAGTTATTACATTCACAGTAACGACTGAAAGTAAAATTGGTAAGTTCAATGAAAAACGTGATACATAACTCCAATTTTTTTATAGATGTAATTTCCGTCGTATCAGAAATGTAAAAGGAATTTGGCGATTCTTTGATTCACTTGCTTAATTTACCTTGCGAATGATTCACTTGCCTAAAACTTTGAAGACTAATTGAGTTTTGTTACCTGCCCAGGGTCTGTTCACCACTTCTTCAAAAGCATATATAGCGCATAAGCAGTAGATAATTTGAATAAGTACTTGGGGGTTTTTGTTTTCACAAATAATTCAAGTAACGTGCAAACGTAAAATTGTCTTTGTAATCAATTTCTACAGACGCATCACCTTTTATTGTATTTTTGTTTAGCGCAAATCGCAAAATCCTCTGTTTTCGTTTGGACGGAAGAAGTCAAAAACTACATAATCGGAACGTTACTATGGACATAAAGTTAATTTAATTAGTGGATGGACTTCACTTAAGGTTCACTGAAAGTTATTTCATTGTACAACATTTGTACATTATCCTATTCTCATGCACTGAATTACTTTTCATTATCATATAATTATCACTGGCAATAAATGTACATGTAAATAAATGTCACTGAATGATAATAAACTTTCATGTGTATGAAGGGCTTGACAGAGATTTGTATTATCTAGTTTGCTAACATGAATTCGTATATTCTTGGTTCACCCGAATTTTACCCTCTGTAAGTGTGCTCAGATACAGAATCCAATGGGATTCTATTTGAGACTTCAAGTCCGATTCCAATTTCCAACAGATTTCTCACTATATTCGCTTCTGTTTCCTGACTTTATTCATTATTCTAAAGCAGTTAATGGTCTTGCGTATAGACCAACGCAGAACGTGATACAGAAATGCATCAGTTCAAGTTACTGCATTTGATACCAGCATTCAAAGGGGAAGTGGAGAAGAAAAGAATTACCTGGTATAGTGGACGAAAGTATAAACTAGTAGAAAGGAAAAATAAACGAAGGTTAATGAAACTGTCCGAAATCTCATTGACCAATAATGTTACAGACTTTACGGTGATATCACTGAGAGTTCCCAATCATTGATCTCTATTATCTTGAGTAGCTTAACCAGGAAGTTTACAGCTTCCTTAACGACTATGACTAACAATTAGTCTTCATGAAGTGGTAATTCGTGTTGGTTCTTATGATACAGGATAGAAACTGCTAAAACAGTTACTTGTTTGAAGGTAAGTTTTCAAAAATAGTCTGTTATTAATTCCCGTACCCTTTAAATGACTTCTTGAAAAATTAACTGCTTATTCGAAATGCGTAAGACAAAGTAAAATACATGGGAATATAAGGGTCGATGCAATGCTTGAAGTTCGTCAACCTACCTTAGCCTACTTCTACGTATTTTAAGAAAATCAGCTGTGGTGTCGCACCAATATTCTTCTCAATTGAGATAAATTATTTTAGACTTTTCACAATACATGTGCATTGCTTTCTTAAATCTCCACAACAAAAAGACACACTGAAAGTGGATAATGATGAGTAGCGTTATGCCTAACACAATTTCTAATGCTGTTAGCCTGGAAAGGTAGGACGGTTCGCTAAGCTGCTTTATATCTCATGGTGGTACTGGGAAGCATCAACTGAAGTTGCTGAATAACTGATGGTTAAATAGTGTAGTAGTTTAATAGTTATTTTTCGTTGACAAACCAACTTTTAGGCATCTCATGAGGTGTTCTTTTAAAAGAACAAACTACGCAAATAAACACTTTAATTTTGCTGTTCACTTATTCCCAGCTCAAAAAGTAAGGTTCAGCATGAATACGTGATAAAAAACGAGATAAGTGTTTATTAGGTGTCATTAGATGTAAGATATAAAGCGCAATAATTATTACAGTAAACACGAGGAATTTGTTATAAATATCGTTTAAACCCATCAAGCGGCAAAGAGTTACTTCAAACTGAATGCCTACAGATCTCAGTACACCTGCTGATCAATACTGGTTTTTTGTCACCGGAATACTAAACGTATGCAAAACGTCGACAAAATAGGTTTTGTTTCAGTGCAAATATATTAGCAAACAGATTCTAACATCATGTAATAAACTTCGTTTGTGATTTAGGAATTCCATAGATAGAAAGTATTCCATCATGCGACCCGGAAGATACCTGTATGTAAAGGATGAAAAGCCATTGAATGCAAACTGAAATTCCTCATACTAACAAAGAGTCAATTAGTGTGGACGAATCAATAAACAATTTGAGAGAAATGACATGCATTTAAAGGAAAATGAAGAGTGCAAAACATCTGCATAAATGTAGTTTAGTATGTCTTTTCTGTCTCGTCGGGCGATGTCTAACATGGGTTTCGGCTAGAAAAAGGCCAAAGATGACCAGAATAAAGCGTGACATGAGTCCATGCAACCTTTGACATGTGTAGGGAAATGTAAACTTCCCGCTTTGGTTCCGTGTGAGTAGAAAAACCAGTGGTTAGAGACTAGGTGATATGACTCAAAATCAGTTCCAGTAGCACAGTTGTATCCATATATGATCCCCATCTTGATCGTCATGCTAAATACAGTGATTTCTCATTCCTCTTTTTCATTTTATCAATACTTCCTATCACCGTTGACTGGTTTTTTCTCTATTTATATTTTATCGTAATACTTTCTCGCTTGATGTGCTGGTATGAGTTGTGACAACTTGTGCTGTTACACCGTAATGCCAGATCCAATGCTGATAAAACTGACTGGATTTTCCTCTAAGTGTGGTATTTGGCCAGTTATTTGTATCATCATCAAGTTAGATGAAACATCTCGGACGTATGACTATCCGTTTCGTTTTTACGATTGAAGGCGGAAGCAACCCAGTCATTCATTATTACTCACTTAATATTTACCGACGGTTTTTTACTAAGTATGTTGTGTCATCTATCAAAGGTGGTTGCTTCTTGAGGTCCTATTCGATTATCTGTAATACGCTATAGGAATAAGGCAGGGATGCGTTTGAAAACAATAGTTCTTAAGGCCTCAGGTAATGATCACTTCCGCTCTTATACACTTCATATTGTTTAAAACTGACAATAATTTTGGAACAGGTAACCTTTTACAGATAATAATTGGGAATAAATGATGATATGCATGAAGAAATATACGAATAAATTATTGCCCAATTCCTTCGGAATTGGCTAAGTTTAAAATTCCGCTTTACCTACCAATCGCATTGATAAGGTGAAAAAGATTTATGAATTGTTTGCATTTTCTTCATGATGTCTCTTGTAAGGTGATTTTCCTGGTCAGATCGATATACTACAGATTATTTTCAAGTGAATCATTTGTGAAACTTAATGATAGTTCTGAAAAATAGAATGAGGGTTTTTCTTCAAACAGGCGTGAATTAAAGTATTGCGTTGTGGTTTATGGGCAATAAATAATGTTGAGGCTTCATACAGAAATTGATCTGCACTAAGAACTTAACTACTACATTGATTACCGTTCGATAAATCATTTGCAAAAGTAAATCTTAGTCAATAACATATTACACTGAGAGAACTAGAGTGGTTTTGAAAAAACTATCTTACCTCAGGCCTCAATGGATGCCAGTCTACTACAGTAGCTGGACTTGTGTTTCGCGCCTCAGGATTTAATATGGCTAAGGGATGCGTACTGGGTTGTCGTATATCATATATAACTGGTGAAGATTGTTTAGCATCAGTTGTACCACCTGCTAACAATTTCGTTCCACAGGGACTGAATACCACTGTCACAGGAGGAATAAGGGCATTTCGACTAGCTCCACTTGTTGTCGAAGCTTCAGCAGGAAATCGAACCAACTTCATAACAGGATGCCAACTTTCTCTAAGGTCCCATATTCGTATACCGTCTTTCGGAGCAACTGTTGCATATACTGTATACCCTGCGCCGAGTGTTCTACCATTTACTGGAATACCGTTAGTATTGCAAAAGCTGGAATAAAGTGATCCCTGAAAAATTCAATAATGATGCTTAATGAATGTATTATACAGAAAATGATATCAAACTAATATTTAGTGGTAAAACCAAGTCCTAATGCTAGTGTTGTCAAAAATTCAAAGTTATGCACTGAGTCAAACTTCAACTGGTTAGACAGAATATTCCTACAATTATAGTTTTGATATCCAAATTATCATCAACGAATGAGTAAATGGAATTACTTGATTCAATGCGATTCCTGTTATACATCGATTATGCGCTGATTCAGTTTCTCGAATAATCTGTCCAGAATTCAGATCCAAAATAGACAAACGATGATCTGACCCAGCACATAGAATCAAGTCTGCGACAGTAAAAAGCAACAAGAAAATCAGCCTATCATAACAGTTTTGATGATTTACACATATGTGTATTAACATGTAACTTGTTCAGTGCCATTAACATCGAAAGACATCCTAACTGAGAAGAGGTATTCTTAAAAGGTATGAAAATGATTTCTAAAAAATTTGTATTTATCAAGTTCTTCTTAAAGATACATATTAGTTAGTTTGGTAAGGCTGTTAAACTTTTTGAGTTCCCGTACTAAGCCTCAGTCTCCATGAATTATCTATCGGTTATCGTGATGGTCAGGAGGAACGTATTCGATCCCAGGATATCTAAAGATCGATATATCAGTTACACTAAATACATGAAGCAAACATGTAAGTTTTACAGAGGAACAGCTCTTATGTCTATGATTGGCTATTAGCATAAATGTTTAGGAAGCTAAGAATTCAAAAGTTATGTTACAAATCATCCCCTTAATTGTTGTTAGTGTTTAGTGTTTGTACCTGGAGAAACTTCTCCAATTGAAGAAAATAAACCTAGTCTTTCAAACAATTAGAGGTTAACTTGGTTTCATTATAGTAGTCATTCTGCTTCAATGTTCATTTTATAAAGTCTTCACTCAATAATCCTCACTTCTTCATGATTCGTTATGCATCATATCCTTCTCTTTTGTTACCATGTTCAAAATCACTAGTTTTTCTTACTATTATAATTATAAATATATAAACACGGATGTTTTACGGTGTTACAGTTCACCGTAGGATAACAAGAGAATCGTATTGTTGTCTTTATAGTTACAGTTACACTTTACACACAATTTGCTTTTAATTTCAATTAATTTTGAGGATAAATGTTTGATTACTTAACTATTTTAGTATTTTTCTAATAAACGTTCATCCTATATGGCAGTGATATTCAGTGGAGAATACCATTCTAAATCCTATGGACTATATGACTTTTGCCACCTAAGTTATATACATATAGCTTCTTAGTTTCATATGAAATTATTGCCTGCTTCATTACAAGCTGTATAACACGTATCTTGACGCTGTTTTACCTTCATTTACCATAGTCAAGTGAGGTATGATGTAAATAAGTACATAAAAAATTATTTATGAGGATGTTCTGTTTTAAAATCAAAACTAATATCACCGAAACAATGAGCTGCACTTATAAAACTAACCTAAAGTTTTAGCTTCTTTTTAATAAATGGTAAATAAATATGTAAGCTTTTATGACTTATGTTATAATTACCGTGCAACTATTTCTTGATAAAAACTGAAAAAACTTACATGAATAGAAAAGATTTACAGATGCAACGGAAGTTAACTGATTACAAGTTTGTATTGAAAATTCACCAACTAGCTTGTAGGTGTTATTTGGAAAGCTTCTAGAAAGGAAAATAGGTAGGATAGAGGAGTACTGTATAATAGATCAATGATACTGATGCTCTCGGGTTAAAAAGTGCTAACTGAAAAACTTTCAGTGCCAAAATCTAGAAGTAAGCTATAATTTCCCACACGCAAAACGATAGCTATTAAGAACTTCACTAAGAAAGACAGTCATTGACAGCCTTTAACAACAGGTAATCAGAGTATCTCTCAATACTCTCAACTGATTAAGGTACAGCCGCATTCCACTTATCCGGTCTTAGTCTGTAAATATCGGTACCTTAATACTCACTGAAATTTGTAAAGTTATATCAAACGTGAAACGCAATGAAGCAGCAATACATTACGGTTTAGCCTCAGGAGTTTTTCAAGGATGGCGGTCATGAAATCTTGATTAGAACAGCTGAGGTACCAGCTAATATTTAGGGAACATAGTTTCATCGGACTGGTCTGCAACGGTATACATTTTGACTTATGAAAAGGAAATATTTCCGTGACAATTACCTAATTAACTACTTACGACCCTAGGATCAGAGTTCTAGCTGGAGATTGAGGAGAAGCTTCAAGAAACCAAGTAAACATGAGGCAAGGATGAGGATACGTCGATCAGTTCTTCACTTTTTAGCAAATTTTTGCAAATGGATATGTTTACCGGTCGTATTTCTTGAGCTGAAGGAAGATTTAAACTCCATCGATACAGAAGTACTGCGTAGTTTCCCGAGAGAAATTTCGATTAAGTTTGACTTACGTCTCACCGCTTTTAAATGTAACATGGTGTTCCAGGACTGGGATAAAGAGTGAAGTGACTAAATACTTTGACCGGTTCACTTATTTTGACTGTTGCATATGCACTGATGGGCCTTTGATTCGCAAAATCTCAAAGCATATACAACTGGTCTGTTTTGGATTTACATAATGTAATAAGAAGACGAAGGTTATCTAAGAAATGTGATGTATTCGGGCAACACATTTCGAACAATTTGGTCACATATTCAATAATCTAGGCATTTCATATGAATGATTAAAAAGGTTGGGGTAAGGTAAATAAATTAAGATTATACAAAATTTGGAAAACAGTGGTAAAAATGAGGGATCGTACATTTTAACAGCTCCTTTGACATTAAATTGAGATACAGATTACAAAAGTAGGTTAAGGTTAGGACAAATTGATTTTGAATACGCAAAGGGAGGTTGAACTTTTATATGGCTAAGGCTTCAATAGACCTAAGTATACGGCCTTGACGGTTCCTGTCTAAAGGCTGTTTTGGGGTCAATCCTGCGACCTATTCCTATAATGTGTTTAGCTGTAGAGGATGACGTATGTCCGCTGCTATATTTATTGGATTATTTGATATGCTCCACCATCCTCGACTTCATAGTTCGATTACTCTTCCCAATGTATGTGTCACCGCACACACATGTAAATTGGTATGCACAGTGGGGTGTGACGTAATCACCTATGTAGTGGTGAGGTTTATTTCGAAGTATAGGTTTCGTTTTCTCTATAATATTGGGCTTGGCTGTATAGTATAACTTTTTAATAATTGAATGAATCCTTCGTTATGCCATTTGATTCCGCCTTGTACGGCAGCGTGATATAAATGCCCTTCTTCGGGACAGAATATACTCATTAGCTCGCACCGCTGAGACGTTTTTATAACGACTGATGAACTTCAGAGGTTATGGGTTTTCTATGAGTGTTTCTGTTAGGAATTTGGTTTCTTCCAATGTATCGATTGCTTAAATACGTTGCCTCCTTTTGAATAAGCATTTTACTAAACCTTGTTTGTACTGTTTTCGAAAGAAACTATAAAAGTTTAGGTACTGTCCGGTCTGCGTAGGTTTCTATACCCTAATCTTTCTATCGATCCATTTTCCCTTCTAGTTAACAGTACACGTCAAGAAAAGGAAGCTGATTATTATTTTCTGCTTCACACGATAAACTAATATGGCTTCGCATGATGTTAAATCTATCTAGAAGACTTTCCGTATCCTCATGTTTATTACATATACATAAGATATCGTCAACGTGTCTCCCGTACAGAGGGACTTTGTATGTTAAGTACTCAGCCAAAAGTTTTACATGTGATACATACAGACATCAGCTAACAATGGTCCTAAAGGACTACCCATGGTGAAACCATCAGCTTGTTGAAAATATTCACCTTCGAAAGTGAAGAGAATCTTATAGGTGGATAGTAATAATAGATTTTTTCCAAGCATTTTAAAGGAATGGGGAATGAAGAAATATTCAAAGATATATAATCACAAAGAATATCAAGTCTTGGATAAAGGCACATCGGTGAATACAGAGTTTACATCAAAAGAATAAATTATCTTAACCTTTATATTAATATTATTTATGTAGTCATTAAGCTGAATAACTGATTTCTAACTGCATTGGTGTAACCTCGCCTAGTTAACTAGTTACTAGTCGGTCCTAAGCCTGGGTAAAGGGAGAAGCTTGGGCATACGGCTAGCAACCCTACGTGTAAAACCAAACCAATCGCTAAACAAACTTCAAAGCACGAAGAAAATATAAAACATAAAAACAAACTTATTCCTCGCTGGATTCGGAGAGACGAAATAACGCCGGTTGGTGAAAGCCTTCAGAAAGCCAATTGGCCGACGTGCCTTCTCTCGATAAAAGCGAAAGTAAACACCCGAAAGACAACCACGAGCATACTTAGGGAGTGGATACCATGATGTCTCTAACAGCATCAAAGGCTCTCATGCAGTGGGAACCAATCTCCTCCTCCAGAATCAGGATCGTGACACCAAGATTCATCTCGAAAGGAAAAAAAGTCACAATCATACAATGCTACACTACGCACCTACAGGTAATGCAGATCTAGAGAAGGAGGAAGAATGTTTTAGACAACTGCAATCAGTACTAGACAGGACCCCACTCCAGTTGGTGACATCAAAATTCCGAAGGATGGGGTGACATGAATGCCGAACTGGGAGCGGAAAACAGGAAAAAAACACCCATCATGAGTCGAGAAGCACTGGGCGAAATGAAGGAGAATGGAGACCTGTTTGCAGACTATGCATTCAACGATTTCGTGATTAGCGACAGTGTACAAGAACAACGATATTCGCAAAGTGACATGGACTTCACCAGACACCAGGATACACAAAAATCAGATCGACTTCATCTCAATCTCAAGAAAGTGTAGACAGCCTACTGGACACGAAATCAAGAATAGGGGCAGATGTAGGCTCAGACCACTATCTAGTGCAAGGAACCTACCTACAAAATCAAGTTGAAAGCCTTGAAGGAAGTTGGTGATAGACCACAGTTCAAGTTCAACACCCAGAACAGAAATTGAAGGATGAAACTGCAAAGGACATTTCACGTCAGACATCAGGAAAAATGGAGGACATTAATCAATATCTCCTAGGAAAACTACGTGGAAGAACACTGGAACTCTTTGAAAGAGGTGTGGAAGGAAACTTGCATAACCGTGTTAGGAAGGAAGAGGAAACAAGACAAGTAATAGATCTCAACGGATACATAGAAGCTGACAGAGGAGAGAGAGGAAGATGGTGAAACAGAGGATGAACCAGTGCAGTGCACGGGTGAACAACGGAAAAAGGAAGTGGACACAACCTACAAAACACTACACTGGACAAAGAAGTGAAGATTGCGCGGAAAGACAAAAGATACTTCTACGACACACTTGCAAGTGAAGTAGAACAGGCTGCTGGTAGGAGAGACCACCTGACAACATTATATCAAATGGCCAGGTTACTATCTGGGAGGGAAGAGATCAGTGCTGATGAAATCAATAAAACTTAGTTACGAAAGAGGAGAAACAATGGTCTGACGACCTCAAAAAGCTCTTGAATCGACTACCACCACTACCACCACTGCAACTCGTCCAGAAATACCACCACCAGCAGTCCAGCCACAGAATTACCAGTGAACACAAGCCCTCCAACAAAAGCAGAAGTGAATTCCTAAACACCATTAAAGTTGCTGAAATCCAGGGAAAGCAGCAGGACCAAGTGGAATTCCTCCAGAAGCATTGAAAACAGAAACAGAGACAACAGCGGACATGCCCACACCAATATTACAAGACGTTGGGAAGGAAGAATAGGTACCTGCCTATTGATTGGAAGAAGAGCTACCTTATCAAACTTCCAAGGAAGGGAGACCAAAGTCACTGCAAGAACTGGCGCGGAATCATGCTCCACCCCTGTCCACCCTAGGCGAAATATTAGACCGCCTCTTCCTGGAAAGACTAAACAATGTGCTCGATTCAAAATTACAACTGGAACAGGCTGACTGGCTTCAAGAAACACATATCATGTCAGGATCGAATTGCAACGCTACGCTATGCATCATCATATAACAGAACACAGAATGCCAGTCAACTCTCTACCTCAACTTCATCGACTCTGAAAACGCCTTCGATAGCGTCGAACGACAAGCAGCTCGGCAACTGCTTCAACACTACGGTTTTAGCACCACAAATCTTCATCAACCTCACTCAACAGCTAGCTACATGCTATATGATGCTAAGTGATGCCAAGTGATTCACAATGGAAAGCTCAGTGACACCCTTGAAGTGAAGACAGGAGACAGTAAGACAAGGTGGTCGCCTACTATCACTCATCATCTTCCTGATTGTGGTCGACTGGACTGGACTGGACTGGATCATGCAACAGACAACTGTGAGGAGCGAGGAGATGGGCATTCGCTGGCTGGACCGATGAAAAACCCTAAAACATCTGGATTTCGCCGATGATGACTTATGTCTAGTGTCTTGTAGCACAAACTCGAAGATCTACAGGCGAAAACCAACAAATTGGCAGAAGTGGCAGGGCAGCGAAGACGGGACTTCCTTCAGGTGAACGTAGAGAAGACAGAGGTGATGAAGATACCCAACCAACAACAACAACAACAACAAGCACCCATCACCATCAATGGGGGAAATCTGAACGAAGTAGTCTCTTTCACCTACCTATCTAGGCAGCATCGTTTCAACTTCAGGCGGCGGCATAGATAAGGACATCAAAGCCAGGATCGGAAAGACAGCAACACAGACCTCCCTTCATTGACCTGAAACCAGTGTGGAGATCTACTGCACTCCACTCCACTCAGCATAAAGCGTGAACATGATCCGGATTTCCAACACTAATTCAGTTAAGTCAGTGCTTTTATATGGTTCAAAAACTTGGCACCTCACGTAAAGCATTTCCAACGAACTACAGACATACATCAACAGCTGCCACTCACGCTCACTCGATACTGACACTGAAGATCAGATGGCCAGAATAATAAGAATAAGCAACAAGGAACTCGTTCTGGCTGGCTACCTGGCTGGCTGGCAATGAACCAACCAAGAACCCATCGCCCAACAAATATGCAGGAGGAAGTGGAGATGGGTTCGACTGGACATACACTGAGAAGACCATTTTGGGACATCATGCATCAGGCTAGACCAGGCCCTCGAGTGGAATACAAAGGGTAAACGACGAGTTTGGCTTCCGAGGGTGATATGGAGGAGATCATGTGAGGAAGAAATGAAAGCTTGTGGGCCGTCGTGGAGCCAGGCTGAGGAGATTGAAGGGAAGAGAGTGCAATGGCGACATGCTACTGAAGCCCTATGTTCCACTAGGAATTCAAGGGAAAAGTAATAAGAATAATAAACTGCACTGGTGTGAAAATGTATTATTCCTCCTTATTATCCCTATTTTTTCTAAATCTTGCCTCATATTAATTTATTTTATTTACCCCACCCCATTTTCATCTTTGGTATAAAATTCCTTGATAAGTAAATGTATGACCAGATTGTTCGAAACGTATTGAGCGGATACATCACCCTTTCAGATAACCTCCATGTTCTTATTGCACTATGTAAACACATCAATGGGGCCAACTGATTCATGTGTTTTGGATCTAATTATGCTCATCTATGAATTTTTAAAAAGAGGTTGAGTGTATTGGACAATAGTCTGCTCTGTGTAATTGTTAGATTGCAGGACGGAAACTTTCAAGACGAGTGAAATGAGATAGGTCACTGGCGTTTTTTTAGCATCGTGCACATGTGATACAACCAGGGTCAGAAATAGTAATTTTATCTATGGTTTGTCAACAGAGAAAGTAAGTCAGTCGATTGGTTTGTAAACTTGCACTGGTGTATTCCAACACATATTACTTATGCTAAGCTACTGTCTTTTTCTACGTGTTTGAACGGCTACATTAGGTGCAAGTCATCAGTGGGAAAATATTGATATAAACAAAATGGATATGAAGAAGAGAATAAATGAATGGATATTCACAAAAATTCAGAACCTTTAGAACAATAAAGATTTGACACATCTGGACGGACTTGGTCAATTTAAAGGCATGCTATCATGAGTCTTCTAAAGATCAATTCATCCATCATGGATTTTAAACAGGCAGTTTATAAATTCTCATGTGATTAAAAAGTAGGTTTCACTTCTGCTATTCATTTAAATATCTTCGTTTATTTCTTCTGCAATACATAGTAGAACTAAACTTTAATGACTGGAAACTTAAAGGATAACCAAGTAAATTGATCAATGTCATTGGTTACGTCTGTGTACCGTGCTGTTGATGCTGTATAAACTAATGAATTATAACGAAGATTACTTTGCAGGTTGGGTGTGAAATTTGGTGGAGTAGGTTATATGGATGAGTGTCTTTCGGGAATGTAAATATAACCTAGGAAGACGAATTAGATAAGACTGGCTAAGTTACATACATATGTCTTGACAAACAACAGATTCTTGGTACATACGACCGAAATGGGAAGAAACGACATTTTCACTGGATAAAGGATAGATAAAAAAAATCTATCCTAGCAGTTATAGGAAATACGTGGCATTGGATATTTCAATTTACATAGATGTTTGGAAGTCGTATATGCCTCTAGCCGAAATGAGTTACCCTCATCAATCTACTGTTCATTAATAAGGAATTCGTTGATCAGACAGCTGGAGTGCTCACAAACAGCTTTGAAAATATGTAGAGTCATCATAGAAAGTTCCTAAGATCTTTGATGGAATCAGCAAGGGAAATTATATTGTCTCATGGATGAGTGACAACACAGACAATAATACAGTTTCAAAGACGGTAAACGTTTTGAAAATCTAGATATATGTATTTCTCATGGAAATTAAATTTTTAATTTTTTAAAAAGGTACTGTTTTCCCTACTAATTACGTCGTCCTTCATATTCTTGATTCCAATTGGTCATTGCATACTTGAACATGAATGCCAGTGACTAAAGTTTAGTTCTACCCAATACACAAAGATGAAACGAACCATAAAAAAATATTTCATAACAAATCATTTGTTCGACAATGAGCCTGTTTAGTGTTAGACTACTGACAATTACTGAACGACACAGAAGTCTATTATTTGTGCATAGCTGACAGTCTCTAGAGAATAATTACTCAAAGTATGCTTATTCCAGTCACATAGTAGTGTAGAAACGATAAGAGGGAGATGCAGGAATGAATGTTGATTATTGACATCTTGTACAGTAGTCATCAAATATTGTACTCATGTCACTAAGACAGTTATTTGCATAACGTGCTTCATTTCCTCTTCTGCTTCTCTCTTGATTTGCTCTCAGCACGCCCATAGTGTCTTTTGTGTTTCTCTTGGCAGAGTCTTTACCCGTTGCTGGTAATCCTCTATGATTTCTGCCACCCCCTCAACATGTACTACTTATATCTATTCTGATCAGCGACGCCCCCTACAGTAGTATTTAATCGCACAATTTCCTTAGGAAAACATTCGGAGCCTGCTTGTATATAATTTATTATGAAACAAATATTAAACTAGTAATAACGTGTTACTAGTGATAGATATAATTAGCAATCATGTCAAAATATTAATTCCACATGTTAAGAATCGATCGGCAGTCATGGACCTAAATTACGTGCACGAAAACAAGGTTCGGGGTTTCCTACCGATTGACTTCTAAAATCAAATTACAATTCGCCACAATGCCGCGTTACTTAAACTAGTGACCACGTTGCAAACTTCGTCGGTAGACTTCGATCAGTGCTGAACACTAGGGACTAGACAGCTACATCTATTCCATACGAGATTGCTTATTTGGTATGGCACACGACGACATAGTATAATTTACTGGATGATGCTCTGTATAGACTGACCCATAATCATACTATAGGGTGGGACAGGTTGTCAATTCCCAAATCCAATATAGCTGGGTGAACGGAGAGATTGATCACAGAATCTTTGTCCATCGAATCAAAACCTAACATATGTTTCAGGAATGGTCCATCTCTCATTGTAGATATCTGAAAAAATTTCACTGCCATTAGGAAAAAAGAATGAAGAACCATTGGACTACATAAATGAAGTTTGAAAGTCGCATGATCACTTTGATGCAAATATGAGCAGTAAATTTTGCTCGAAACTTCATCCAGTAAAATATACTATGTTACTGTGTACAATAATCAAATATAAAAATCTGATATGGAATTATATTCTACTGCAGTGTCCAAGCTTTCCGCTTCCATTAGCTACATCTACTATCCACTAGTGACCAGTTCGTGTATATCACAATATTAGAGAAAATTTCTATTTATTCATCTTCAAAGTATTAAAATTTATAAAAAAAACTTACTTTTCCAGAATATTTTTATTATCTGATAGGGTATACGAATATAAACGAATTATATTCTGACTGACTAAATAAACAAATGAATCCATGTAATGAAAATTTCCAATTGATACGCTGTCTTGGAAAGGCTCGTGATAGTTTTTCTTCCGCTGAAAGTAAAATTGTTTTTTATTTAGAAGCAGATAGTAAATAAAATTTCAGATGAAAATGCGAAACAGCAGTGTGAAGCACTTTAACTACTATACATTTACTAAGTAGGATACATCTCTTGTATGGCGTGCTTTCCGATCATTACTGACCAAATAGATTGCATGTCTTCAGTTGTGAAACAACCATTGGAAAACAGATGTATACAAACGGAAAACTATGACATATCATGTTGTAACACCGAAGTTGGATAATTTTTGCAATAGGCTGTGACCTAAACTTATTTGAGAATTTCAGACATGTGAAGGGAAAACTAAACGAGAAGTGTTAGGAATTAATCGGAGAGCTTAAGACAGGTAGGCAACGTAGAATATGTCACAAAAGTGTTTCGTTTTAATTTATCCCATTTACGACACCATACAAAGAGGAATTGCGTCAAAACAGAATGATATATAAGCAGATGAAATAATATGAAAGTAAAAAGAGTAAATAGATGAGGGTTAGTGAAAAGTGGCCAAAATTTGGATGATGAAGAATGTATGTATCTGCACCGTTGCGATCAATTTTGAGCCATATTATCAGTCTCCAACCATTGATTCCAGTCTGCCAAAGGACCCCAGCGAACTGGTCTGAGCCTAACTATATGACTTAGACAAACAGTCAGAGATCTCATGAACTGATGCAACATCTCATCCTCATCACTTTTAGCTTTCTCTCAAACCTATTACTACACTGTTCATCGAGGTAGGTAGTGGCTCAGCATGCGTGACTGACTAAATTACCGTCTTCACCTAGTAATCTGCGCCTAAACTAAACTTTGCTCATATGGCAGTTTCAACACACCTGCGGTAAAAAGCTAAGAAGACATTTATGGTCAAAGACCTTCAACCCCTCCATATCTTTTAATTTCGACCGTCATATCTAGTAGCCATACGATAGGGCACAGCAGACTGTTGTAAGATGTACTTGTCCTTTGATATGGAGTCGAATAGTACACTAACATCAGAGATGGTTTAAGTTAGAAAATGTCAGACGGCACTTTTTAATCCGATGTGAGATTTCATTAGCAGCTAACCGATGAGGGATGGTGAAATTTCCCCAGTAAGAGAAGTGGTCAGCCCATTCCACTTGTTTTAATTGTAGTGAACTTACATCTGGTGAAATGAATTACTCATAATCAATCACCATGCATGTCACCAAACTATTTAGTCTAGAGTTGGTGCAGGTTAGGGATACTTTTTATGGCAGAAATCAGTAGTTCGATAAATTAGTAATACGAATCAAAAGTTCAAGTTAGTGGTTTGTGTATATTAATTTATTGCCTTGCCTTAACTAATTTACTTCTGTTTTTTCCTTTCTCATGCTCCTTCTGACTCACTGAAAGTCAAGCCGTCGAATAATCCCAACTTGGTTTGTAAAATATATACAGCTGATGAAAATTTAACCAGTAGCTGTACTAAGCTTAGATACGTTTTATCTTGCATATCCAGAACTGATAAAAGGTGACTAATATCCACTTAATTTTCACCAATGGCATATTTAAACCAATTTCTTCAGTGATTTTTATAGTAATTATTATGGCTTTATCTAAAAAAAAACACACCTGGATGTTAACTCTTTCACCATAATCATTTGTTGCTCCACCATGTATTGAGTCGAATATAAGCTGTGTTGTTGGTCCAACCTTAGCGGTTAATGTTTTATCCAGTTCTTTGACACTTCCGATTCTCCAAATACGCGCAGTTCGATCTGATGAACATGTCAGTAACAAACGACTGTTTGTTGACCAAGATGCCCATAGTACAGGACCCATGTGACCACGTAGGGCTTCAGCCGAGGAAAATAATTTTCTGCGTTTTTCTTCGGTGTTTTGATCACAGCGTGTAACCAAACAAATTCCATTTCCTAAACAAGATGCTAAATTAACTCCGCTAGCTTCAATCAAGCGGAGAAATTAAAAACTCATGCTACTTTAATTTGTAAAAAGATCAAATTTGAAAAAAGTTGTGTAACATATTTGTAAGTGTTAACATCAAGGTAAAAGTCGCGCTTTCAAGATATCAGAAACTAATAATTAATACTATTAGTCACTAAACAATTTTTAATTCGTCTACAATCGAAAGCAATCATTTTAGTCAGTAAGAATCTTCAATGCACTTTTTTACTCAGTGGATGAAATCGCAATTAAAACTGCTGTCTATTTCAGTAGGAAAAAGATGGAATAAAAGCCATCTGATTTATATACAGTTATAGCAAACTAACCACTAATGGATGGAGATAGAAACACGATTTTTTTAAATAAAAGTGACACTGAGTTCACTGAGAAACTGAACAATGCCCAGAAATTGAGGAATTTGCTTCTTACACCTATCATGTAATAGCTAATAATACTACACGAGTGAACAAATCCTGACAGGTGATAGAGGGTTTGAACCTATCATCTGCCGGCTGCAAGGACAGTGCTCTAATCAAGAGACCCCAGCTTCAGACAAATGGTTCTTCAGAGAATCTGTTTAGATGATGGTAGGACATAGGACTAAACAACGTGAAGTTGTTTACCCTTCAGTGGCCAATCAGTGTACCTAATCCAGTCCCTAAGGGAGGTCAGTCATGTCCCAAACAGCTCAGCGATAATCCTTCTAACTGCAGAACACTGGGTGATACGGGTTTGAACCTCAGAGGGGTTATCAATTTTGTGGAGGTTGCAGATACGAATGCTAAAATGTACGATTCTTGCCGATTGTATTTATCCAAATGACATTTTATACTTCATAAGGATAACATTTGTAACTTTTCGAATTTGATAACTAAAAAACCCCTCAAGGTGGCAAACAAAATGAGCCTTTAAAGTTTATTCAATAGTGGGTAGTAATAATCCCTGGATTTTCACACAGGGCTTAAAGATGAAACACCAAATATTGTTGGTAACTTTGATTTAAATGCATTTAATATTTACCTCCCTTTAGGTCTTGAATTCACTATTCTACGCGTAAATGGGATAAGTAATTTAAAAATGATTTAGATCACCCTTCTCTAGCTAGAAAAATCTATAAATTAGCCTGAGTGGTTTCTAACTACTCAATTTACACAGTAGTACGATCTACGCCTACTTGTTTCTGATTTGTTCAAGTCCTTTTAATTAGTTTATTCAACATTTTTGTGTTCATTCCCTCGATGTGTAGGTTTTAAGCACGCAAGCCTGAACTTCGTAGCTGTTAAACACGTTTCCAAATCGCTTAGTCTATTATACTTCCAGATGAGACATCACCTTTATTAGTCAAAACTATAGTGGCAAAGAATACTACTTACGTGAATATGCAACTTTGTAGACTGGTGTAGAACTTGCGTCTAGACTTCCACTTATCTGAAGAACACTTGGAACTTCTTCGGTAACGGGATACAGTTTGGTTAATTTCCTATCAGGAGATAGTGTTAAAAGATGCATAACTTATAACTCATAGAAGCAAATATATAATAGTCAAATCTTTAAAGAGACATATAAATAGGCAAAAGGTTAAGGTAGGATTTTGTACACAATTTTAAAGGATCTATCAAAATGAGCCAAATATCTTGAGTTTACTAAATGTTCTATCGCAGAGCTGAGGATGAATTTCCATTTTCCCCCTGTCAAACAAGTTGGATAGTGTTCACAAGCGCCTTGGATTAGCTGGCGCGTTGTACCGCCGATTCACTCGGCTCCATAAGAGCAAGTAAACCGATATACACACATTGATGATGCAACGTAGGACCTCGCAAAGCATTCCACCAGTTCCCTTTGTACATCATGGAAAGAGGAAGTGAAGAAAGATGGAATGATACAAAAGCATGAACCAAAGACGCATGGCATGCTACTGCTCTTAAAGTAAAATTCATCAATAGATTATACAGTTTAGTGAAAGAAAAAATGGGTTTGAAAACTTCTTAATTTAGATTTCCTATCCATTACATCTACATTTCATTAGCATATTATTCTCCTCATATAACTACGTTTATGGGAGTAGCGACTGCAAATATGAAGAAACCCTGCGCTGTGACAATATTGGGACAAACAGTCTCCGATTACTGGAACCACGGATAACTGGTTAAGTTAGATAAGCTTCAATTTCATTTTAATCACCAAACCTTTTGCCTACAGGTCAGTTGACTTACTATTCCATAATTATTTTTTCATTCTCAAACTTATTTCTAAGTATGACGTGCTTCATCATTAACCTGTTCAATTTCCCCAAGTTGTAGTAATATATCTCTTAACTCTTACGATCGCACTCTGTCTGTTAAAAATGTTTTCTCTCTATGCTGCTACAAATCAATCGATGTCTCAATCTGTTTTACGTATGAATGCATTTCTGTTTTACACCGTAGTATGTGTTGAAGTACGCATTTTATACATCCGAATGAAACTTAGGAATTCTTTAATTCCTTTCCTCACTTTATTGAGTCCTTGACTCAAGACAGTATTTGAATAAATATTTGCTGTAAATCAATCGTAGTTACATCATGTTCATCAAATCTTTTGCATACAAGTGTACGATGATGTTATTCTGAGGATACCTAATACATACGACCAGTCACCTTGACCAAGCATCCCTGCTTTTCTGATATTCATACCAAAAAGCATTCAAAATTACAATCGGAATAGACTGGCTGGCTGGCTGGCTTGGAGAAAAACAAATCATGTCAGGATCAAATTGCAACACTACGCTATGCATCATCATATAACAGAACACAGAATGCCAGTCAACTCTCTACCTCAACTTCATCGACTCTGAAAACGCCTTCGATAGCGTCGAACGACAAGCAATTCGGCAACTGCTTCAACACTACGGTTTTAGCACCACAAATCTTCATCAACCTCATTCAACAGCTAGCTACATGCTATATGATGCTAAGTGATGCCAAGTGATTCACAATGGAAAGCTCAGTGACACCCTTGAAGTGAAGACAGGAGACAGTAAGACAAGGTGGTCGCCTACTATCACCCATCATCTTCCTGATTGTGGTCGACTGGACTGGATCATGCAACAGACAACTGTGAGGAGCGAGGAGATGGGCATTCGCTGGCTGGACCGATGAAAAACCCTAAAACATCTGGATTTCACCGATGATGACTTATGTCTAGTGTCCTGTAGCACAAACTCGAAGATCTACAGGCGAAAACCAACAAATTGGCAGAAGTGGCAGGGCAGCGAAGACGGGACTTCCTTCAGGTGAACGTAGAGAAGACAGAGGTGATGAAGATACCCAACCAACAACAACAACAACAACAACAAGCGCCCATCACCATCAATGGGGAAATCTGAACGAAGTAGTCTCTTTCACCTGCCTATCTAGACAGCATCGTTTCAACTACAGGTGGCGGCATAGATGAGGACATCAAAGCCAGGATCGGAAAGACAGCAACACAGGCCTTCCTTCATTGACCTGAAACCAGTGTGGAGATCTACTGCACTCCACTGCACTGCACTCCACTCAGCATAAAGCGTGAACATGATCCGGATTTCCAACACTAATTCAGTTAAGTCAGTGCTTTTGTATGGTTCAAAAACTTGGCGCCTTACGTAAAGCATTTCCAACGAACTACAGACATACATCAACAGCTGCCACCCACGCTCACTAGATACTGACACTGAAGATCAGATGGCCAGAATAATAAGAATAAGCAACAAGGAACTCGTTCCGGCTGGCTACCTGGCTGGCTGGCTGGCAACGAACCAACCAAGAACCCATCGCCCAACAAATATGCAGGAGAAAGTGGAGATGGGTTCGACTGGACATACACTGAGAAGACCATTTTGGGACATCATGCATCAGGCTAGACCAGGCCCTCGAGTGGAACCCAAAGGGTAAACGACGAGTTCGGCTTCCGAGGGTGATATGGAGGGGATCATGTGAGGAAGAAATGAAAGCTTGTGGGCCGTCGTGGAGCCAGGTTGAGGAGACTGAAGAGAAGAGAGTGCAATGGTGACGTGCTACTGAAGCCCTATGTTACACCACAAACCGAATGGTTGAATAATAATAATAACCATCTAAGAACAGTGAGTTCATAATCGTTAAAGTATTCACGAAAACATATGAGTTCTATCACTGCTAATCACGTGTTCATTAAAATAGTTTTTCATACTATATTTATCATTATCTACAAATGTACATCAGTAAGAGTTTTAAAATATCAAGGTTCACATATGTTTCAAGTGTTATTCCTGGTCACCCTATCCACTGCTGAAATAGAGAATTAGCTTGACTTGTTTTATGAAGAAAACTACCTTTTAAACAGGGATGACTTTCAAAGGCCACTCTAAAGCGACTGAAATAACCAATTAGTTCTTTTTACTTCAGCTGGAAAGACATTTTCATAAAATGGAAAAGTCTAATTAGATATCTCGGTTGTTACTAGGGTGATCTTTAAAGTCACTTGTAAAACAGAAACAATCAAATCTAATTGGTTGATAGGGTAACATCTAGACTCATTCTATATTTGTGAGAATTCAGACATAAGGCCTTATTATCATTAAAGTTGAATTAGTAAACTAAATTTTAGGAGTAATTTTAAAGGCCACACTAGCAACAACTGAAATAACTATTCAGACTTCTGTATTTTATGAAAATCTGCCTTGTCAGTCGAAACGATGATACCCAACTGGTTATTTCGTTGTTGCTAGGGTGTCTATTAAAGTAGCCTTAGTTCTATTAGTTACGCTTGTGTCAACTTTAATGGTTAAATTTCATACAGTTGTGATGACTACAATAGAGAACAACATTTAACACGAGATATAGCAATCACTCATTCTCTTTCTCGTGTAATTTGACCAGGACACAAACGCACTATTAAAGATCTTAAATTCCTTAATCATTGCATTAGATACAATGTGAACGAAATGAAGACGTTAACGTTTCATTTGAATGAGATGTTAAAAACTATCAGTGTATCGAGAGTACTTGAACATTGTAAGAAGGTTGAGTAGATGATTAAGAGCACAGCCACAACAAATTAATAATAGGACACGGCAAAAATTGAAAATGTGACTAAAAAGACATTTAGCTAACTAAAATATTATTTACATGTAATAATAATGTCTTACGTAAGTTTTCCTTCATTTATTAAGCGAGTAGTCTTCATAGGTTTAGCATGTCCATTGACCATAGGATGAAACATTTTTCGCCTAAAACAAAGAAAAATGTTTCACTTATTTCAGACCATACATACTTTAGGTGTCTAACAGCGATACCAATTTCCAAAGAGTACACGTTTTAAACCAAACATTCGTCAGTGGTACACAGAGGTCTTATGGTAGTATCCCTCACCGAAACAGTTGTCACATAGGTTCATCACTCTGTTAATGACTCTTTATTTAAACACCTGTAAGCATGTTTGAGCCAACGATGAAGTACTAGGTGAGTTGTGCACGTCAAGTGGTTTCCATTCTTTTTATTCTTATTTCATTTCGTCATGGAAAAACTCACAGAAGTTCCCCTCTCCTCATATGGCTTTACCAGGATTTACCTGATCACAGAAGACTCCTTAGTGGACTTGGAGTATACAAACGACATACTCCTGTTAAGTGAAGATGGCTTCTGGATACACTGACTGACAAATTGAGAATATTTTGGGATGTTTCTCACCGCCCAAGTGCAAACGGTTGCTCAAGAATAAGTTTGTGTTAGATCAATCCAGATCGGCCAGTGACTGACTCAATTACCGCAAGGATACAAAAAGCTAGCATGGTTTATACCGAATTGCGCTATTTATGACGTTGCCTATTAAAATCTCATTGTACTACATTGTAGTTGGTTCTGTTCTACTATGCAGCAATGAAAAATGGTCATTAAAGGTTTCAGGTATTCGACTACAGTTGCCTTCGTAGCCCAAAACGTATCGTGGCGTCACCACATCAGTTAAGTAGAAGTCAGGCGCAGAGTTTCGGGTAAAACAGGTAATTCACTTGTTGAGGTTGTGGGCCTTAATCGACTACGATGGTTAGGACACGTGTTGCGCATAGCTAGGCGTGGCCTCTCCCATGATAATTTGCCAGGTACATGGTCTACATTTAAAAACCTTACATCGTGAAAGAATCGAGGAGTTGATGTGAAAGACTCTATGCTTAAAAGATGTCATTTAAACTAGGTTCTAAGGGTTCAAGAAGGACGGTTGAATAATGGTTTAATAATAGCGTACAAAAAGTCTGACAATCTGCAAATAACAATGATACAGGAAGTAAGTCTGTTTGCTTCAACATACATCAAATCCGGACGTAATAAAACTGTCTGGCAATTAAAGCTGTTAAATTTTGAAATGGTAGAAGTAATGACCATGAAAAATTTTAAGTCAAAACGAAACTGATACTCTTCCAGTTCATATTCTTGATCATCTTCACTTATTGGTCTTTAATTATGCCTAAAAGTGCCTTTAAGTAGACGACTTGTCTAAGACTACCTAAGTATGATAATCAGCAAATGAAAGCTTGTTACCATATCCTATTCTAATACTACAAACTACTTCTCAAATTTGTTCCTCTTCAGTTGTGATGAAGGGTAACTTTCAGTTCCACGAGAAATTGGGAAATATTTGCTGAGGTGCAAACAGTAGGAAACAACACAGTACTATTTACTGCTTTCAACGAGAAACAAAGAAATTTGAAGTTTTATGTTTTCATTGTTTTATTAAATGATGCTGATAAAAAACTCCGGATTGTTCCAATTATTGAAATTAATGTAAGGCTTTGCTAGAGAAAGATTAACTATGGTTCCTCTGTCGAGTGATCGTTTAAAACTCACCTCTAGTTTTTGCAGGTAGGCATATTATTTAAGAGCGTATAAAATGATAACTAATTCTCAGAAAAATAACTTAAAGATGAGATATAACAGAAATAAGTTTCTGAAGCTGTAAAGTGTATTCTGTTGGAACTCCATCTCTATTATGCTCAGTTTAAACCGTTCCTACTAAATTTTGTTTGTTAGCTACTAACGTCTTCTTGCACTGATGTCAGCTAAGCAGAAACTTTAGAAATTAAATTCTTAATGCGCTAAGCCTTTAGAGCTGCAATTGAATTCCCCTCGTTTTACTACTCTTATTCATTAGACGTCTTCGGTTATCATAGTGTAAAAATGACACTTGCCTTGTACATGTGAACGCATACTTGCTGAGACATTATTCCGGTGATTCCGATTCTGTATCAAGCTTTATTTACCTAATCAACTGTTGCTCTATATTATTTTACTACATATGAAACATTTCACAACTCATAACTTTTCATCTCTTGTATCGTTCACTGACTTCAACAATATTCGTATCATCCTTAATTCTTTTCAAGAAAATTAACACAACGCAGCTATCGCTGTTTAATATGCGTTAAGACCAAACTCATATCAAGAAAGCGTTAACTCTGAATTTCCTTAGTTGAATTGAAGAAGTGAATAATATTACCTGACAGCTTAATAAATCAAAATCTACAAGACTTTTCAATTACATCCCTCGTTCATTAAATAAGACAATGTAAACAACATGAAATGTTATGGCAATTGACCCTTACATTGGTTCCTGTTTTGCATAACCAGAAGATTTGATAGTATGACCAAATGTAACTGGTTTATTCAATGATTTGTTGAAGTTAGAAAAGTGATTTGTATTCTTTTGAGCGGTTTTGGTGTTGCTGCGAAGTAAATCATGTTTGTTACACTTGTTTAATACTGAATTTGCTAGCAGGTTATCTCTGTCAATGTAACAGAATATAAATATGAATGATAAAATAAGTGATTTGTTACTTTCATACTACTCTTGTTTACAAGACTATCTTCTAGAAAAATAAATACAACTTCACTGTATCATGAATTTGACTCGAAATAAAAGTAAACGTCATTGAGATTCGATCAATCAATTCAATGAAAATGTTCCTTAATAAAGTATTTAAGACTTTACTGCGGTAAGTTTCGAGTGTGCATTTTCTTCGATTTCTAGAATAACATGAGATAAATGTCAGCTGATGCGTAAAATTCACTACCTGTACTTCCCATTTACACTGAGATATTAAGAAGCTGATATAAACTGTTCGTAAGTTTTTGACATAGTTTGAAAGTCTAACATCAGGATTGATAAATAAGAAGCTAATAAAATTGTTAGACAACTTTCCAACAAGGTATTTTAAACATTATTTATAATGGGAACAACAATACTCATTGGAGTGCAGGTACATCCACCTGACGTGTTTCAAGTAGGATGAAACGCTACTAGCCAAAACCAAGTCAATCGTAACAATAAATATTAGGGCACTAACGAGGCATCCACATAGGAGACTTTATGTTAATAGAGGTCGATCAGTTCAATCTAGTATGATAACGGAGTATTACAAGTACATCTGCAAACAGTAATTATTTACAGTAGTAAATATTTGGTATTTAGGAAACAGTAACTTCTGTTTAACGATTTCAGCTGATTGTTTGTATGAATTCTTGCTGTTGCATGAAAACATTCGGGTTGATGAGTTTTACACAAAAGTGACGTTTTGATCTTAATATCACCTGCGATAACTTTGACTAACATAAATGAGCAAAAAGCAGCTTCTCTTACTTAGTAATGACAATAATAATAATAATAATAATAATAATAATAATAATAATAATAATAATAATAATAGTAATAATAATAGTGGCTTTATTCTGAAAGCTGTTTCGGGAATACTCTACAGTATTTCCAGCATGTCATACGGGACCAACTGGACAGAGATAGTGTATATGTATACACAACAGAATGAAATAACTATAAATTACATTAGAAAAAATATAAGAATATCCACTCTATCTACAAATTTCTTCAACATGTACAGTCAAGTTAGGTAGACGATCACATCAGCAATAAGATTCATAATATATAAGTGGTAACATGCTCATCATTATTTAGTTTGCTTTCAATAACAGAAGTTGATTAGTTAGTTCATGCCTAGTGCTTTCTTCACTGCATAGCAGACGAGCTAAATACGGTATTATAGTTATTATATTTTGTAGTATGTGCATAAAGTCTAATGTACTTGCTCTTTTTCTTCCCAGATAACCGACACACAGAGAGCTTCAAGTGAAGGGAATGCTGGGCATCTGATAAAATAACTCCTGCCAGATGTTCACATGAGTTAATGTGTTTGTTCACAACTGTTTTAACCAGAAGTTTTAGAAGTACACCACTAGTTCTGCTGACAATCGTCAAAGTTCTGGGCAATATAGCATAGCATAGGAGAACAGGTAAGATACAGGAGTCTATAAAACAAAAGAGGAGCAGCTGAGTAATACCAGATACTCTCAGCTTTCTAATGTAGAAAGTCGGGTGGAAAATTCTTTTCGAAATTAGTAAGATATGGGAGGATAGGAAAGGTCCGAAGAAAAACAGAGATAAATCACACTTGTAACATTCTCTGATGCACAGCTATCAATTGAACAGGAATCAAGAGAACTAAGCAGTTTACTTATGTTATATTCACGTCTAAAACTAAAATTTATGGTCTGACATTTTGAAGAATTAAGCATAAGATCATTCACAGAAGACCATCGTCTGACAGTAGATAGGAAATCATTCATCTGGAAAGAATCTGATGTAGAGGAGACAGGTATGGAAACTGTCAGGTCATCAGCATATTTGATGAAATTGATACTAGCTGGAGATGGTAAGATGCAAAAGGAAAGAGAAAAGACAGGGTGAAAGGACGGCTCGTTCGGGAACACCAGTCACAGTAAGCAATGAGTGCTTCCCTCTGTGAACAGTATGTTGTTTCCTTTCAGAAAAGTAGGAATGTAGTCAGTTGATTTTCCAGTATGAGTCCCATGTAGCTTGTTCACCAAGAGAGTTTTTGGGATAGAATCAAACAATGAAGTACAGTCTAAAAATGCAGAGCTGACACACGTGGCATTTCTATCAAGATTATAAGCACTATTGTGATATAGGGCAGTGGTGGCATCTAGAGTGCTTGTTCTGGTCTGATATAAAAATTAATTAGCGTCTCCGATGGTCTTCAGTGAAGGTTCGAGCACAGATATTATTAGCTTCCCCATTACTCTCAAGAACGGAGAGGTAACTGCAATCGAACGGGATTTTTTACATGCACCTGGAGTCCTTGAATTAGGTACGGGGACTATGTTGATATCTTTCCAGGCAGCTGGTAAGGTGTTTTCTAAAAATGATATTTTGAACATATTAGCTAATGGGTTGCATAAAGTATCGGTGCACTTTGTGAATATGAAGCTTGACACATCATCCGGATTTGAACTGGGTGAAGCGTTCAGGGATTTGAGATATTTGAAAACATCTTTCGCGGTGAACCTTGGACAACATTCTTCATTGGACATATGCTGACAAAGTGGGATGGGACAGATGGGTTGATATATAAACGATTTGTTCAAAGCATAGACGTCAACATGTACTTCTTTACCAAGGTGTTTACTGCCAGTGGCGTCCATAAAAAGTTTCCGCATGCTGGAAAAGCCTTTACATGACAAAAGTTTCTGGTTATGTAGTAGACTCAGACGTTTAATTTTCAACCTAATTAAAACGTTCAGTCGACGAGCACCAGCACTGTCACTCACTTTATGTAGTCTTTCTTTTTCTCTTGTTATTCTCTTAAGCTGGGTAGAAAATATACGATTGAAGTGTAGGAAAAGCTTTTCACTGGAGCAACAGATATCCAGGCAGAACTTGAGGTAGCATGTCACACCTTCAGTAATGTCGTTGAAAATATCGCTGTCAAATATATTCTAGTCTGCACATTGTAGCATTTCTCTTAGGCTACGTATGTTACTATGTGAATAGTTTTTGTGTACAGATTTTTTATATGGAAAGGCTGTTTTGTGTAGTTTACCGTATATTTTGGGCAATGAACTGAGTAGAGCAATGGGGATCTTTTTCGAGTTTCATATAAATCAGTATCATTGACGAATATCAAGTCTAGTGTTGCATGCTGACGTGTAAAGTTAACAAGGTTTTAATGACCAAAGGTTTTGAGAAAGCTTTGGTCACAAGAATTGAAATCACCGCATATTATCGACAGGGAACCATAGAGTATAGGGGGTTACGAATTCCTTCAATATATCAGACAAACTGGATAATTCAGAGTAACTGTGACCAGGCGTCGAATAAATACTTGTGATATAAATAAAGTGATATATGTTCACTACTTAATTTACCCTTTTTATTTGACTAATGGTAGGTATTTTGTTATTTTATGATTATTTGTCCTTTGGGTTCCTAATGGAACATAGGACTTCAGTAGCACGTCTCCAATGAGCTCTGTTCTCTGAAATCTTTTGAACCTGGCTCCACGACAGCCCATAAGCTCTCATTTCCTCCTCGCACGATCTCCTCCATGTCACCCTCACCTCGGACGCCCAACTCATCGTTTCCCATATGGGTTCCACTCGAGGGACTGGCCTGATGCGTGATGTCCCCAGTCGGCCTTCTCAGTGTATGCCCAATCCATCTTCCCTTCCTTCTGCATATTTGTTGAGCGATATGTTCTCGGTTGGTTGGTTCGTTGCCAGAGTTCCTTGTTGCTTATTATCATTATTCTGGCCATCTGAGCTTCAGTAACAAGCCAGCGTAGGCAGTTGTTGATGAATGTCTGTAGTTTGTTAGAAATCCCTTTCGTAACGGGCCAAGTCTCTGAACCATAAAGAAGAGCTGAGTTGACATCGATGTTAAAAATCCGGATCTCGTTCACGATTTCTACTGAGTGCAGATCTCCAAACTGGTTTCAGGTTAATGAACGCCTGTCTTGCTTTTCCGATTCTGGCTTTGACGTCCTCATCTGTGCCACCTGTAGTTGAAACGATGCTGCCTAGATAGGTGAAGGAGACTACTTCCTTTAAGTTTCTGCCGTTCATGGTGATTGAAGCTTGTCGTTGGTGGTGCTGGTTGGGTATCTTCATCAGCTCCGTCTTCTCTATATTCACTTGAAGTCCCCTCTTCGCTGCCTCTTCTGTCAACTTGTTAGTTTTCGCCTGTAGATCTTCTAATTTGTGCGACATCAGACACAAGTCATCGGCGAAATCCAGGTCCTCTAGGGTCTATTTCCCGGTCCGGCCAGCATATGCCCCTCTTCTCGCTCCTCACTTTTTGTTGCATGATCCAGTCCACTACAATCAGGGATATCATAGGTGATAGTAGGCAGCCTTGTTTTACTCCTGTCTTCACTTCAAAGACATCACTGAGCCTACCATTGTGAATTATTTGGCATGTGGCATCTTCATATAGTTGTTGAATGAAGTTGGTAAAGACTAGTGGCACTCCGTAGTGTTGGAGCAACTGACAAATTACCTCTAGGTCAACGCTGTCGAAGGCCTTCTCAATGTCGATGAAGTTGAGGTAGAGGGTTAACTGCCATTCTATACTCTGTTCTATGATGATGCGTAGTGTAGCGTTGCAATTTGGTCCGCACATGATTTGTACTTCCTTAAGCCTGCCTGTTCCGGTCGTAGTTTGGAATCGAACGCATCATTTAGTCTCTCCAAGATGATGTGAATTAATATTTTGCTTGGCGTGGGCAGAGATGTAGCGTGATTCCGCGCCAGTTCTTGCAAACACTTAGATCGTCCTTCTTCGGCAAATGATAGGTATTTAGTAAGCTTAAAAATCATATTCTTGTCAGCTTTTATCCAAATACTAACTGGACAAAGGAGAATGTTGTAGTGTAACTGAAAGCAAATCAGAAAATCTTTTGCAACCTCATCTCTTAGCTATTCAGTATTTAATAGTTTTTAGTGACTATTCATTCAGTAGCATATCTCTATGGTAACGGTAGTTAGCTTCAAGATTCGCTTCTTTTTTGAACTTGCTAGGTGTTAAAAAATTTATTTATGCTTATGCTTTAAGAGAAAATTGAACAAGTAATTCTCCATAAGTTCTGTATTATAAAGGCATTGCCAATATACTACGGGTTTTCTGCATTTATACTTAAGCGTCAAACTTCAAAAATATCGCAAAATACCAGAAACTTTTGAACTTATCTTGAATGCTTTAAGGTCTTTCACCTTGATTGAATTCATACTAGGGAGGACATTCGTTTCTTTAAAATTTTGTCAGAAAATTTATTATAATGGTAGGAAAGAAATTCCTTTAAAAACAGTTACTGTAATAATTGTGATAATTTGCATCAACGTTTACATAGATTAGTGTCTTCAAAAGAAAATGAAGTATCTGAATGAAATCTCCCCATATACTGATAATTTTATAATATGATTATGGACAGCATATTAATTCCCACATGTTATCTATTAACTACAAATGTATCACTTTATGCTATGTTAGATATTAGAGATTCATACTGAGATCCAATGGGATGAGATGTGCATGGATTTTGAATTCTATTAAGTTACATTGACTGCAGCTGACAGTAGCTAAAAAGAAGGGTATATTTTTGAGAAAACAGCCGCTAAAGATGATGGTTTATTGATGTGTAACATTTGTCCTCGTACTGACATGACATATTGTTTAACATTTGCAAATATATTTAAAATTAACTTTTACTCATACTAATTATCCATGTGCTAAGTTGAATGACGAACCTCATAGTTTTAGTAAACAAGTCAAAACGCGGAAAAATAGGTTGTGGAGTTGTGGCTCACTGAAGTAGGGAGTTGATTTTTAACCAGTGGGTCACAGGCCTAAGCCCCACTCCGCCTACCTAAGTTTGGGCAACCAGGTGGCAGTATCATTAGCTATCACATAGTGAGTGCGGCTTGTTGCCTACTGACACGATATGCACAAGGTCGCTGAGTCAATTTCTGTTTCGATTTGAGAGACAAACAGAACAACATAGAACGTGCCATGCTGAGAGAAGTTGGGTTAGGTTGGAAGTGGATTCAAGGTATCCAGATCAACACCTGGAACCACTCCATGAAGTCTCTGACTGTTGGTCTGAGTCGTGTGGGGAGATGTAGACTGTCTGGTTGGGATCCCCGATACGGAAAGAGTCAGTGGTCGAGGATTCTTGGTGACATGGCTGAAAATCCGTCAAAACGGCATAGATATCTTCTAAAGCTTGAATAGCTGCGCCCACCGTTATCTCCAGATTGTTTTTTCCCTCACATAACTTTGTCTACTTTGATACCACTCTTATTCTATCCACCTGTTTTTTGTGTACTACTGATATGAAGTGTGGCAACTTGAGCTGATGCACCTGTTTATGAGGTTCCACATTGATTTTGACTGTCTGTCTGACACAGAACCTAACAGTGAAACAGTGTATTTTAATGGATATACGTAATATGTTGTTAACAATAAAAATGCACTTAAAAAGTAAGCAAATGTATAATATTACCTAGCAATCAGTGATAACGTTGACATACTGTCTAGAACATTTTTAGATTCACCGGATGAAAGTATATTTTCCAGGGGAATTGCAAAAAAGCCAACGGAATCATTGTTACCACGGACCCAAAAGTTTATACTTTGCTTGAAATAATAAGTATTAACAGAAATATTCAGAAGGATGCAAAAAGATTTCAAATAATTTATAACTGATTTCAATAATCAAGGTGAATTAGGTAAAGATTGAGTACTATGAAGGAATAAGTATTCATTTTTTTTCTACCAGTGGTAACTATTAAATTTTGTCCACTTACTCATCGCCACTATTGTAGTTTGCACAGAATTTGTTTTTTACTAACCAAGTCCAATTAAAACTAGAAAATAAAACGCGCTAGGCGCAAGCAACAATTTACCATATGATTAATTAAGTAGACCAAATAATCTTAACTGAAAATGTTTGAAAAGTTATGTAATTATTGAAGATGACATGAGTGTTTATTTATTTAGTGAGCATATTAGTTGTACTCGACTCACAGTTATGAATCATTAACCTTATCGCTGTTGATACTGCTGAAATGTTTGACTGAATATCTATCGATGATAATTTTAGAGAATAAACTCCTTAACGAACAGAAATAGAAAAATTTTATTTATAACATAATCTTCGATTTTAACTGATCGTGTTGTGTGCTTTATTTGGTTTAGAAGACTAGATGATATACATTTAAATGAACGTTATTTTCTGCTTACAACATTTGTAGACAAATGTATGAGATTATTTTCTCAGGGAATAAAATTTATGGTCCTTTTTTTAACAATAAGAAGGCAACATTTGATTTCGTCTAATCCTTATTTTAATCAAAATGTAAGTAATCATAATTACAAGACTGTTACGTAAAGAAAACACCTAACTGAGTAAATGAGTTTATTAGTTTAAAAGTAAAAATCAGTCAGTATAAAAAGTATACTGTTTGATTTCTAAAACTAACAATTGCTGTTCATTTTCTGACTAGAAACCTTCGTTTGACTCTATGAAAATAATAAACCCCATATAGGATAAACACTTCGGTCAGTTTAGTTCAAGATTAAACTACACTTATTATTATTATATTATTATTAGTCCCTTGGGTTCCTAGTGGAACATAGGGCTTCAGTAGCACGCCTCCAGTGACCTCTGTTCTCTGAGATCTTTTGAACCTGGTCCCACGACAGCCCAGAAGCTCTCATTTCCTCCTCACATTTCCTCCTCGCCTGGTTAACTAGTTTACTAGTTACTAGCCGGTCCTAAGCCCGGGTAAAGAGGGAAGGTTGGGCATAGGGCTAGCAACCCTACCCCGTAAAACAAATCTAACCGCTAAAGAAACTTCAAAGCACAAACAAAATAAACTACACTTGGGATGTGTAAATTGGTTTTAAAAATATGGCTGCAAAAAGATGACAATGTAGAACTTTATATGGTATTTGATTAAATTGACTTCGAAAAAAATCAACTGCAATTAGAAGAATCTTCATTTTTAAGGGCAAACAATTCATCAGTCACCATTCATATTATGAACTAATTAACAGTCAACCAATCACATATGACTTCAGTATGGCAAACAATCATTCATTTGTCTAGAAATTCGATTTTCAAATAGTGGGTCGCGAGTTCTTATCCCGTCTCACCTATCAAAGTCTAGACAGCCAGGTAGTATATTCGACTCTCATAACAGAGGTGGTGTTTATCGAAAGAACACATACGTCGATGTTAAGATGCATTTTGTTTTTCTTCCTATGGTTTTTTCAAGTCTTCCAGATTTTCTCTGCCTTTTGTAAAATACAACTATTGCTTGTGTATCTCAGTAATTGGCTATAAGTTCTTACTGCGGTTAGTCAAAACTGGTAACATGGTATTCGGAAGGCGTATCGACTAGGGTTAAAGATACAGCAGAAATCTGATTCTTCTTAAACGATAAGAGATAGTCTGTAGAATTTGCTTATACATTAAGATAAGACAGAGAGAGGTCAGGTAACTTATTGGAGTATACATAAATTTCGGTAATAAACAAGTTCGAATGTTATGATACTTTCGCATATGTGATACCACTTTTAATACTATGTAAAAATGTTTTTTTTAATTATAAGGAATGATCGTCTGCCACGGAAATAATAAGTCTCAGAAAAAACAAATCAGTTCGTAATTTCAGGTTGGTATTCATCGTGGACTGACATCGGTTTGAGGAACATTAGAAACCTAAGAACACTAGACAGCTGTTTCATTCTAATAAAGGGTTCCTCAGCATTGCGTATACATGACACCCCCCACCCAGGTACGAAACAGCTGTTTAGTGCTTTCAGGTTTCCAGCATATCTCCAACTGATGTCAATCCATGGTGAATACCACTCTGAAATCCATAAATAAATTCGTACTCACCTCCAAATCGAAATCAACTACTAACTATCATCGTGATATGAAATACTATTATGAATTTAAGATTGCTATGGTTAGGATACCCACTAGAAGTATAGAAGGAAAAATTGTTGATATAATAAAGATAGGCGTACGCAACAAGGCTGAACCTCGTAAATAAGTACATCTGAAAAAATCACCAGTTTTTGTAATGGTACAGAGTGAAAAAGTCAACAAGTTAGTGCTGAAGATATCACTCAGCGTAGTGATGAAACGTTCACGACAAAATGTCAAAGCTGAGAGAACACTAAACCACCTTTATCCTTATCCTGAGCTGAAAATCTTTTCCATCATTTCAATTACTTTGTATTGTTTTGCATTTATTTTTAAAGGATTGGTTTCTCTTCGTTCACAACTTGACTGTGTAGTATTTCATTTATTAATTTTAGCCTAACTGGATTGATTGAGTATTCATAATCTTATTTATGAATAAATGTGTATATTTCGTCAGTATTTGTAATCTATTGTCTGTTATGGATTTTGATTCACACGAAAAAGAGTTGCTAATATCTTGCCTTATAATCATTTTAAAAATGACAAGTGCGAGAACTTGGTGTTAATTGCAGTCGATTTCTATCAGTGAGACATACGAAACGTCATCTGAAAGTAGGAAAGTTCACCTTGAAGTTATAAGTGGAAATCATGGGATCAAGGTCAAAATGAACGTTTTTCGTTGCACCAACCGTCACAATTAAAAAAAGACACTATAGATACTACAACTAACAACTATTATATCACATAATTTCTGTAATAGTTTACAATTCTCGTATAACGCAAATACACCATGTCCTCAATAGTATGAACTAGTGAATTTTATTAAATCATATAAAGTAAATCAAGATGAAAGGATTCTCTGGAAAATGAGTCAGTAGCTGGAAAAACGTAAATGGAGTGTCAAAATGCGTTATGCCGATTAGATAAACACAAAGGAAAAGTAAAAAACGATGAAACCTAATTAGGAAAATTCAGTTGTTAAGTGAAGTAACACAGTGAACCACGAATAAAGGTAAATAGATAACGACAGTGAGTGTGAGTATATACTCCGACTGTACACAAACAACAACTATTCCCCCACTGAGTACCTTGTGCTTATCAGAGCTGCAAAGATATTACAAGACTAAAGTTAATATAAGAGCACACCTTAGGCATCATGGTACAGTGTTATCTCATAATTAGTGTGTCAATTTGAAATGGCACAGTAATGTATCCGTATTTACTGGATGATGTTTTGAGCATAAATTGTTGCTCACATTCATATTAAAAAGATCACATAACTTTCTTACTCGATTTATATAGCTTCATTGCCTTCCATTCTTTGTTTTAATTACATTAAAAATTCCAAAATATCCAGGATCAGTGGTTATTTGTTCCCCATCGCATACATTGGGTGCTCATTCGATGAATAAAAGATTCAGTGACCAATCTTGCTCTCCCTCTTACTATATGATCTTTTAGGATCACTACTTTGTCTCACTCAATTGTACGTTAGTGCATGCATAGAAATGTTTCTTTTTCTAAGTTACTTATTTTGCTGGGGTCTGTCATTTTAAATTCAGCTACGTTCGTACACTCTGCCTACCTGGTTGGCCCCGTTCAGATTACTTGACTCACGTACTTAACCTCACATTCACTGCATGGTATTTGGTAAATTGAAGTATTTTATCTCAACTAGTCAAGAGGATCCTTGAATGTCACCCTAATTCTCACCTTATTGAGAATCCTGCGTAAGGTTTCTGATGTACCTTCTCTACACATAACAGACGCCTTAACCTCCTTACTGGTTGTGTTACAGTTGTTGCTCACATTGCTACTTTTTTATTATTAGGTCCCGTGGATTTTCGAATACATCTCTAGGGTAGTTGCTGGGTAGCAATATTTCTCTCATTTGTTTTATTTAGATCTCCGGACCCAGTCATTAAACTTCTGGCTTAATTAGCTATACATTTAAACAATCCCACCTTTGCCAATATGAGGTAGGATGATGTTAAATCAGCAAACCTCGTAGATTGCAATGATTTTCTGTAAAATATTTGAACTACCGTTTTGTCTTCGTTGTAGTTTGCGACCCAGCATGGTTAATCTCCTTTTTTTCCTTTCAAACTCATAATTAACTGGGAACTCTTTTATCACTGAGTTTATCCTTGAAGCGTCGTTCAGTAAAGAATGCTGTATTACTGCTTTATGTGGAATAAGCACATTCAATAGAGAAGGAGAAGTCCAGCCTATGACTGGGAAAATATTGTTTACCAGGTGAAACTGCATCACAAATAAGAATATATATGCGCTGGTAAAAAGACTAAATAAATCATACTGATTAGCTCATCGAAAGTCTCGTTTGTTCATGAACGTCATCTTGACTATGCAGCAGAACAGATTAGGATTTGAACTCATAAATGCATACCTCAGAGGCTAATGACTGAAACACTGATTTCTGCTTTGACTACTTTCTAACATTAATCTACAAATCTACAATTGACAGTTCATTTTGAATTACTGAAAATTTTGACAAAAAATTGAATATCATTGCTTGACAGCTGAAAGGCTATTTGACTTGTCAAATTTAAGTATTATTTGTTTTATTATTTTTCCCTTGGGTTCCTAGTGGAACATGGGACTTCAGTAGCACGCCTCGACTGCACTCTGTTCTCTGAAGTCTTTTGAACATGGCGCCACGACTGCCCACAACCTTTCATTTCTTTCTCATATGATCTCCTCCATGTCACCCTCACCACGGACGCCCAACTTGTCGTTTCCCCTTTGGATCACATTCGAGGGCCTGACCTGGCACGCGGTGTCCCCAGTCGGCCTTCTCAGTGTATGCCCAATCCATTTCCACTTTCTTCTGCATATTTGTTAGACGACAGGTTCTTGGTTGGTTCATTGCCAGCCAGAGTTCCGTGTTGCTTATTCGCTCCGGCCATCTGATCTTCAGTATCAAACCAGCGTAGGCAGCTGTTGATGAATGTCTGTAGTTTGTTGGAAGTGCTTTCCGTGACACGCCAAGTTTCTGAACCATATAACAGCACTGACTTGACATTAGTGTTGAAAATCCGGATCTCGTTCTCTGTGTTGAGTGCAACCCTACACCGTAAAACCAATTCAATCGGCAAAAACTTCTAAGCACAAAGAAAATACAACACATAAAAACAAAATTATTCCTCGCCGGAATCGGAGAGACGGAATGAAAGCCTTCGGGAAGCCAGTCGGCCGATGTGTCTTCTCTCGAAGGAAGCAAAAGTAAGGATGGAGACATGGAATGTCCGCACCATGTATGAACCTATTAAGGCTGCTAGATTGCAAAGAGATGAGGAGGTATGGCTTGGAAGTGCTTGGAATCCCCGAAAGCAGGTGGAATGAAAATGGACTCTCCAAACTATCAGCTGGATAGTCAATAATGTACTCCAAAACTGTCATCAGACGACAACCAAGAGCACATTGAGTCTTCGAGTGGTCATCATGATGTCCCCAAGAGCATATGAGGCTCTCATACAGTGGGAACCAATATCCTCCTCCAGAATCAGGATCATGACAGCAAGATTCAACTCAAAATGAAGGAAAGTCACAATCACACATTGCTACACTACGCACCTACAAATAATGTAGATCAAGAGAAGAAGGAGGAATTCTACAGACAACTGCAATCAGTACTGGACAAGACTCCAGTTGGCGATAACATAATTCTAATGGGCGACATGAATGCCAAACTGGAAGCAGACAATACAGAAAAAAACTCATCTATCATGGGTCGAGAAGCATTCGGTGAAATGAACGAGAATGGAGAACTGTTTGCAAAATTCTGTGCATTCAACGATTTGGTGATTAAAGGTACTTTGTACAAGGACAAGGATATTCATAAGGCAAGCGGCATGGATTTCACCAAATGGACACACTAAAAATCAGATCGACTTCACCACAATCTCAAGAAAGTGGAGACACAGCCTACTGGATACGAGATCAGATCAAGAAGGGGAGCAGATGTGGGTTCACCCCACTCACTATCTAGTGCAAGGAACCTTCAAAATCAAGTTGAAAACCTTGAAAGAAGTTGGTGATCATAGGCCACAGTCCAAGTTCAGCACCCAAAACTGAAGGACGAAACTACAAGGGACATCTTCACATCAGTCAGTTATTAGGACAATATGGGAGATATCGAGCAACATTTCTGGAGAAACCTGTGTGGAAGAACACTGAAACTCTTTGAAGGGAATGTGGAAAGAAACCAACATTACCGTATTAGGAAGGAAAAGGAAACAAGACAAAGAATGGATCTCGACGGACACATGGAAGCTCATAGAGCAAGGAGAGGAAGATGGTGAAGTAGAAGATGAACCAGTGCAATGATGCACAACGAAAAGAAGAACTGAGTAGAATGTATAAAACACTAGACTGAACAAACAAGTGAAGAAGAGTGTGCGCAATGACAAAAGGCGTTTCTATGACACACTTGCAAGTGAAGCAGAACAGGCTGCAAATAGGAGAGACCTGACAACATTATTTCAAATAATCAGGTTATTATCTGGGGTGGAAGAGATCGACGCAGATGAAACCAGTAAAAGATAGTGAAAGAAACTTAGTTACCAAAGGGAAGCAAAGAAAATAATGGGCTGAACACTTCAAAAAGCTCTCGAATCGACCACCACCGCCATTTGCAACTTGTCCACAAATACCACCAGCAACGACAGAACTACAAGTGAATACAGGCCCTCCGACAAAAACAGAATTCTTGAATGCCGTAAAACTTCTGAATTTCGGCGAATAAGAGGAACCAGATGGAATTCCGTCAGAAGCACTGAAAACAGACACAGAAACAACAGTGGACATGCTCACACCACTAATGCAGAAGATTTGGAAGGAAGGAAGGAAACGTACTTGCCGGTTGATTGGAAGAAGGGCTACCTTGTCAAACTCCCAAAGAAACAAAGTGACCTAAGTTTTTGCAGGAACTGGCGCGGAATCATGCTCCACCCTCGTCCACCCCAAGCAAAATATTATGCCGCATCTTCCTGGAGAGACTAAACGATGCGTTGGATTCAAAATTACGACCGAAACAGACTGGCTAGCTTCAGGAAGTACAAATCATGTGCGGACCAAATTGCAACGTTACGCTACTCATCACTATAGAACAGAGCATAGAATGGCAGTCAACTCTCTAACTCAACTTCATAGACTTTGAAAGGGTCTTCGACAGCGTCGATCGAGAAGTAATTTGGCGGTTGCTTCAACACTACGGAGTGCCACTAGTGTTTATCAACTTCATTCAACAGCTATATGATCCACAATGGAAAGCTCAGAGACGCCCTTGAAGTGAAGACAGGAGAATGACAAGGCTGTCTACTATCGCCCATGATATTCCTGATTGTGGTCTAGTGGACTGGATCATGCAACAAAAAGTGAGGAACGAGAAGAGAAGCATACGCTGGACCGGGGAAAACATTCTAGAAGATTTGGGTTTCGTCGATGATTTATGTTGAATGTCGCAAGAACTCGGAGATCTACAGGCGAAAACTAAAAGTTGATGGGAGAGGCAGGGCAGAGAAGACGGGACTTCAAGTGAACGTAGAGAAGATGGAGGTGATGAAGATACCTAACGAACAACAGCAACAATAACAAGCACCAATCACTATTAACGGGAGAAATATGGACGAAGTAGTTTCTTTCACCTACCTAGGCAGCATAGTTTCAACTACAGGCGGCACAGACGACGATGTCAAGACCAGGATCGGAAAAGCAAGACAGGCTTTCACTAATCTGAAATCGTGAAACAAAAATGACCAAAAACTAGTAACACCAGTGACAGAATATGTTTGCTGTAGGGAAGTCCGTGGAGAACTAAAAAATATATGAGATAATAGTCACATATTGACAGTACATTGGCGCTTCTGAGACTTGTAGCTGCGATGTCTAGCACTACTAGACTAGACCCAAAAAATGAATTTCTATTAATCCCTCTATAGAAGATTATAACAGATGGTGGTGAAAGAAAAGTCAGAATATAGAAAGACTAAAGTAAAACTTGGTACACAGTGCATCTGTTCAAGTCGCCACATTTTGCCGTAATACAGAAACAGAAAGTGAACACAATTAAATGATAATCAAACGAAGAGAAACATAAGACGATGAAAACTCAATAGACCTATGAGAAATTGGTCGATTTACAATTGTTGATTGATCAAATGAAAAGGAACTAAACCACACAGCGCACACTTTCTGGTATGTCTTACATCAGCAGTCAGAGGCTTTATAGCTTGTCATTGTGTTTCACTTAAGACATCTACCTTTATATGTTTCCTATCCTAATCCTACTTCACTTAAGATGGTATACTGGGATTAACAATGACTTAGCATACACAACAGATATTCAAATCATTTCATGTCAGATTTATTATCACACCGATTAAATTAATTTTACCGAGCACTCTCCCCTTAACCTCAACACTTGTGAATATCTTTACCCCACATATGAGTAATGCTACAAAGACATCGACGGTAAAACACATGTAACCCCCTCATATCCTTCATCTTCAGCGAAAATGTCAGCCGTACTGTTGGATAAAATTGTCTGCTGTGCATTACAATCAGTCTTTCATTTGTATTCCAACATTTTATGGGAGCGCGATTTTAGCCAAAGTAGAATGGATTGGCAAACTGAGGCTAGTCAGAACAAGACGTAAAACCAGCTGATAAGGTCTCTGACTACTAATCTGAGGCATATAAAGAGGTTTAGGCTACCTAAATACGGTATTAAAGGCAACAGGAATGAATGGCTGCAGACTCCGGGTGGTATGACTCAAAATTGATCAAAATGTCGCAATTATGTAAACCCTTTGACATCTTTGAAATTTGGGAGGTTTCCATTACCCTTTATTTGTTTATGCTGTCTTCTCTCATAAACTTTACATCATTTGTCTATTACCAGAACTTTTTGGGCATGTTGCTGTGGCGTGTCAACTTGAACTGATACACTCCTGTGCCAGAACCTATCTGGTTACTTCAAAGTTTACTTTCATGTAAGGAGCAAGTAAAAACTACCCAAGTAGCATTATCTTACATTCGATAGATGTGTAATATATGCCAAAAATGATCCGATTTTTTCTCAAAACATTCAGAAGATCATGCATTTTGTCATTATTGTTATCGAAGTTAACCATACGCTTTCAGGGAGCGTATTCGGAGGCAATCAAAGTCGTCTTCATTAGCACACTGAAAACGAGGTTAGACATAAGTGATGACATTTCATTTTCCTTGTGGACACCATTCGAAAAAGAGAGGAAGAGTAAGTGATATATAATCTTGTCAACAACTTGCGTGGAGAAATGTAAAATAACACTACAAAGAATTAAGACACTGGTAGAGCGCATAAAAATAAAATTATAAGTTCTTATGTATTTTTACACGTAATTATCACTAACACATTTGTACAAAAGATACAATTAATCAACACATAAATATGTAAGCTTTATGCTAACTAACGTTAAATTCAAGCAGTAATAATCTTTTTATCTAAACACGTAAAATTCTAAGGTTAAACATTTTGGATAAATTACTTACTGATGTGATGGCAATTCCAGCATCGTGTATATAGACCCAATTGGAAAGTTCAAGATCAATCCATCTCCAACTAGCTGTAATACTCTGATTAGATAAATCGATTATGTAAAGTTTGGCACGCGACAAAACAACCAACATATTCGATTTGATTTTCGAAGGCCTTGGTAATAAAATAATTTAGTATTTAAAATATATCAATTACGAAAATCTTGGTAGGTGATAAAAACGGCCTAGAGAACACGCATTATATGAATTTAAGCTAAAGGCTAGTAATGTTTGATAATCAAGTGTTTTTTTCAATACGTTCATCATTCTCATTGTGACATCAAAAACAAGATATTCAGCGAAGAGGACTCTTTTCAACAAATTTATTCTCAAACTAGGTTACGTAAGACTTTCAAATCGTTTATAAAATGCATATAGATTAAAAGGGGTGAGAACGTTAATAATAATCCTTCTATTGTTTATTGACGTTCTCACCCCTTTTAATCTATATGCACTTTATAAAAGATTTGAAAGTCTTACGTAACCCCTTTTTGTTACCGCTCGACCTTTACGTCATCAACTATCAACATTATAATTATCACCACCATCATTATTATTGTTTCAACCCCCCTTTATTTCAGCTAAATCTTCCTCACAGATTAGAGTCATTAAATATCATATATATATATATATATATATATATATATATATATATATATATATATATATATATATATATATATATATATACACGAATGTACAGCTTGAGAATAAATTTGTTGAAAAGAGTCCTCTTCGCTGAATATCTTGTTTTTGAATTAAGTGTTTTCCCCCATAACCTACTGATAGTTTTCAAGACAATTCATTTTCATTGAATAAAACAGAACACATCTAAATAAATTCTAGAGTTGAATATATTCCTATCTCATTCACACCAAGATATCATAATATTACGCTAAGATATCCCTGAGAAAACAGAGAAACATCGGACTGAGGTGTTATTCCTGAACAATAACAATGGTAACCATAGTTCATCAATATGTTGCACAATCTCTAAACACAAGGCATAAAAATCCCTTTAAACTTGGTACTTTCATGCCGATTTACAGTTTTCGGCTAAATATTATCAACACTTCGATGATAACTGTTTCCACAACCGACTGGGGTCATTGGAATATGAATTACTAAACCAACAATTCGTCAAAGAAAATAAGTAGTTGTCACTAATATTAAAAATCGTTCAAAACAGTTATTTTCCGTTTCCTAATTTGTAGAACTTTCTGCTTTCAGTTGTTAAATTTCATTACTATGAAGAAAGAGCACTTAAATTATGACAAGCACTAAGGAACAGATAGCTGCATCGGCTACCCAATGATGGCCGATTCATACATACAATACAGTCGTACATGGAATTAGCCGCGGGTTCAAATCACCTAAGCAGCATCAGTCTTTTCATATTTAGAAAACTATACCTTGCTGTTAAGTGAGGACAAACGTAAAACTTAGGTCCACCACCGAATACCAAAATTATGGTAGGAGCACTTAGAATGTTTATCATGTCTTCCCCACAAATTAAAATGTAACCTACAAATGAATACCCAATGGAGTTTAATCTTCATCCACGTCCTTAACATTTAAGTATTCTTCTAATTTTTTGAGCATAAAGTATAACAGAATGTAAAGTACATCTGATGAACATGATTTTCTACTCTGTACAGATACAATAATACTAACGACGTCTGAAAAGTAATGTGCGCTAATTGTAGACTACTTCTCTTATAACTGGTAACCATATCATTTTCCCTTTATAAACTATTAATTCATACCATTACTATTTATGTTAATTAAACAATGAATCGGCTACTACAACCGTTTCTTTATGACTGATATAACTTGAGGATAATATCCTAGTAACTATGTGAGTTGATTTCCATAAGATGTACTAGTCTGGTTATTATTTCATGCTTTCACGTACAGTTACTTACTTATACACTAAAACATTACTGACTAGCTGAAAATATCTTACTGTCTACTCGATTATCTGAAATATGAGGTATGTAATGGAAAACAACTATTCCTTCATATAAACAGCTACAGTCGAATTGGACTAATTTTTATTTATTATATTGTCAACGTCAAAAGCCATGGCAAAAAAGGCCTTTTCAACTAAATGCAATTGGTGAAAGTTTATAATTTCATTATTCAGTTGAGCCGACATGCGCAAAACTAATCTTGGATAATCACACTTGAGTTTTCCACATTTCACCAGCAACTCAAAATAGACTTTTCACGACAAAAAAACCTACGCTTAAAAGAATTACTTTCAGTTTCTTCTTGCAAAATAGATTATTCACTTAAGAAAATAAACAAATTAGTCGGTACTTCTGATGTAAACCTTATTTAGCGAGCTGTGAGTTAAATTTATTGTGATATGATAATATCATTTGGTTAAATGCTGAAGCAAAGCTAAAACCTCCTGCTGAATGTGTTGAAATTTTTATTTTGACATCTCAAAGCTTTATATGGGTTAGGATTGCAATACGAATGATGATGTACAGACGAAGTGCTTAATTAACAGTAACAATAACTGTAGAATAGATGAACAGATTAACTAAGAACCTAGCATAATTGTATACAATGACAAAAGATATATAAATGAAAGTTAGAAAAATGCTCAAACGTTGCATAATAAATAATACTCATAACTCCATCATTTTAACCGATTTTCAGCCATATCACAGAGTCTCCAGATATTGATCCTAGTGATTTTGAGAACCTCGACCAGGCATGCTACAATTCCTAACAGTTGACAGATAGTCAGACAGACAAAATCAGTATAGAACCTCATAAACAGGTGCATCAGCTCAAGTTGCCACACTTCACATCAGTAGTACACAAAAAACAGGTGGATAGAATAAGAGTGATGTCAAAGTAGACAAAGTTGTGTGAGAGAATAAGCAATCTGAAAATAACGGTGGGCGCAGATATTCAAGCTTTAGAAGATATCAAGTAGTGAATACATCTATGCCGTTTTGACGGATTTTCAGCCATGTCACCAAGAATCCTCGACCACTGACTCTTTCCGTATCGAGGATCCCAACCAGACAGTCTACATCTCCCCACTCGACTCAGACCAACAGTCAGAGACTTCATGGAGTGGTTCCAGGTGTTGATCTGGATACCTTGAATCCACTTCCAACTTAACCCAACATTCCTCAGCATGGTGCGTTTAGTTATGTGGTGGCTGAGCATGCTCAGAGCATGTCCAAGCCACCTCAGTCGATTCAAGTTCACAACCTCATCAATCGACTTGCCTGTCTTACCCAGTACCCTTCGCCTGACCTCTTCATTACTTACGGTTGAACAACTCTTAAATTGATGCCACGCCTTGGTCTGGTTACTCTTAGCCTCTCTTGACCTTGGCGATGACTCGGCATTTGTGTGTTATAAGAAAAGAACAGTGATCAGTTATTCCAAACTAATATGAAAAAAACAAATAGTCGATTTCCTGCATGTTTCATTCCATTCAACTTCCCCTAGTCCGTCTGACCTGCTGATATAAAAGGTGAGTCTCTCTCGAAACATTTGCTTTATGACTCATGATTTAGTGGACTAACATTATAAATATGAAGCTAAGTGTCATACACAAAATAACCAAGAGGATTGAAGCTGTGAACCCACGAGTTAACATATGTAGGTCCAAAAATATTGATGCATTTTGGATGTTCAGTTACCTAGCTAACAAAGATATGTACAGGCAAGGACCTGATATGAAAGTCGGGCTTGAAATAGAAACATAAGTGGCAAATTTTAAGGTTAAACCAGCATAGGCCTTTAAAAATGTATGGTTTTCAAAAAAGGGATTATCTGTTGAGCAAATCAGAGAGATAGTACTTAATTTTGTGTGCCAATGTTACTGCTGTATCATATGTTTTGCATTTTTATTTCTTAAGCTGGAACAGTTAGTAAAAGCAGGTAAAAGTTAGAAAAATAAAACCTGAAAATTTTTGAAAACTGTAATGACATGAAAAACAGGCTATCATAACAGAGATGAAGTTGTTTGTGTTACAGACAAGGTGTAATTTTTTGGTTTCTAAGGTTCAAAACAAAACTTCCTTACATTTCCTTACACATGCATACAACCTATCCATACAGACAGAAAAAATCAACATAGAACCTTGCACAGAAGTGCTTCAGCTCAAACTGTCACAATTTATAGTAATATAAAATGAAAAAGTGGATAGAAAGGGAGTGAGCAGTGACTCATTAGTCTAAGAAAATGAAATTCAACCAATCGGTCACGAGTTACAAAACCGCTCTTCCTACAGAGGTAGTAGTATCATTTGACCACACACGGGTGTGGCTCATTGTCTACTGCACGAATGTGCATATGGTTGCTGAGCGCAGCCGTATTCTTACATCTACAACGTGGGACCATTGAGAGTATGTAAGCTTTTGCATGATTATGACGTTGTTACTGCCGCTTTTATTGTTATCCTCTAATTCATGTAATTTAACTAATATTGTACTGAGTCTATGGTATAAAACGTCTATATTAAATAATTTTTACATGTAATTCCAAGCATTAATAAGAAACCACCGAAAGTACTTATTCACTAATATTGTGTTTACTAGAAAAATACATGCCAATTTTCGGAAAAGCAAAAGTGATAAGTAGAAGTGTTGAAGTTAAATATATAATTTACTGTTAGTAAGTGAAATGAAGTTAACCATGATATGAAAATGAAATTACCATGAACAACTTTAAAATATGCTGCTGATGAAGAAGCTGTGGCATACACAGTGAAACGTTCAGAAAAGTCTTGTTTTCTATTTTCTAAACACCTTGGGAATATATTAAGACCTACCCATGTAATGAACTTTAAAGCATGCTTAAAATTAAGATGCTTTTATCATTTTAGGTTCGGAGTGCTAATTCAGCGATGTGTGTAATAAGGAAGTCTAGCAAATAAAAATTACAATACGCGCTTAGAAGGATAACTGACTAAAAAATTCTTAATCTAATATTGTGAAAACTGCACATCATCTTGAAAATGTTTTTTCCATCACACTATGATTGTAACCCACCTTGCAAGATCTTAGGATATTTCCATGCAGTTTATACAGTTAGGAATAAGGAAAATGTGTGGCACTATCAAAACGTTACGTCTTTCACATGTTTACAGAAGTGAACGAGTTCAGAGAATATACTAGGAAAAAATACGTCCAGCTTTCAAACAAACAAAAATAAAGTTGCACTAATTAGTTATCAAAGATTTAACTATATTACTTGGTATCTTGAACCAACGTTTGTTGTCAATAAATTTATGTCCTAGTATTTTACTAATATATACAACTGAATGATTACCAAAATATACCGTTTTATGTTGCATAAAAACTTAGCTGCTGGAATAATATTCACGTTTTCGCTAGCCCGACATGACATTTTTGAGGCATCTAGAAACCCAACACCCAAATCATAAGGAATCATTTAACTCAACTGATTACCTGACTCAAGGTTCTGCTTGTCCTAATAAGAATTCAAAAAAACTTTTGATCGGTGAAGTAATCACCCTGACGATGAATTCATTGCTCTGAAGGCAAATGTAGTTGCAGCCTGCAATTTCTCAATTTATTAACACTAGCAGATGCCCTATGTATAATATTAAAAGGTTTTCTTGCATGATATCAGTCTATGGTGAATACCAGTGTGAATTCACTTATGTAAAACTCAAGAGAAAGGCAAAATATCCAATAGAAATGATTTGAGATACCAACTATTATTTCATCTACGATTGCTTTAATGTGGGAGGGGGGAACAAGCAGCCTATTATACTGTGTTGTATAAATTTTAAACCATAAGTTCAAAAAGTATGATCAGAAACAACAGTGTGATTTCAACTTTTTAAGAACCAAAAGGGGGTGTGAATATAAGTTATCCTCAGGTGTTATAGCATTCTGTCTGAAAACATATATTTTATGTGTTTTATATGCATATATTCTTAGGCGGAAACTGCAACTGATAAGTCCTTTTGGATGTAACTTGAAGCCTCAAGTAACTCACTATGATCTGTGAGCACCATCCATCTTGAAAAACTGTACTCACTACCTACCTAAGAAAAGAAAGAGCAGCCAACACTTTGCATAACAATAAATAGTTTGAAACACGATTCAATGACACACGGCATTGTAAAAACTATGCAAATAAGTAGGATATTCAAACAGAACACATAAAATGTTCATATCTTCGCAAACAACCCAACGACCTACGGTGAAAAGATAACACCCGGGGATAACTTGTAGCCTGGGCCCCAAAAGGGTCAGGAAACATTCGCCGAAAATATCAGACTAACTGGCTTTTAATACTACTATTGGCCAAAATACACACATTATTATGTAGTTTTAAGTGGATTATAACTTAAACAAGAGAAAAACTCCACGAAGAACGCCTACCAACGAGTATAGTCAGAAATGTCAAGACGAAAACCTAGGAATAAAGAAACATTATCTTGACATAAACGGTCTACCGCAATGAAATCTGAGCACTTTCCAGTTTATAAACGATATTGATAAGCACTATATAAAACAAACAGAAACAGGTAGCCATTTTCAGCACCTAACAAACAAATGCAACCAGTGATTAGTCTGTAAGATATAACAGGATGACAGCCAAAAACAAATCCCAATAAATAGTATTTCACTAGTTTGTCTTACTACTGCCCATAAGATTTTCTAGTCTTTAGTTTCGTTAGCCGGTCAATCTAAAGGCACTGTTACTTACTTCTTTTTTAAAAGAACAGACTAACTAACTAACTAACTAAGCGTCATCCCTCTAGTTTCCCTACTATGGTTGTCAAAATATCAGGGAAATAATTAGAGGTGAATAGATGACTCATGCAATAACATGTGGTCTGTTGATCCTGCATTCACAAGAATTCCAGGTAGGACACTCCTGTTTAAGGAATTAGCTGGTGAGAGAAAAATCTGTATAAACTAGAAGAACTACCCGTCAAAGAAATATCAATTAGTATTTGCAATAAGTTACAAAAGTCTTCTGATATTGGCTTTCTGGGTTTAACTCCTGATGATAAAATACAAGAGTGGATTGAAGAGTGCAGCGAAATAAGAGAGAGCTTGCGCAAACGAGAGATTATATGAATTGAAACTAACTACTAGTGGGATTTTTCAGGATCGATGTTGTAGTTTCAATCTTTCTACTCTATATAAATGAAGTACGGAAAATGGTCAAGATATCATACTTGCTGATATCACGTTCTAGAGAGATATTTATAATGATACAGAAGCGCTTTGAATCGGCCTATAAACAATTAATGAGTGGTCTGTAAGTTGTCATTTGGAAAATAATTTCAGCAAAGTGCAGTAACACGATGGTGAAAAAGTGTTTTATCGGTGACCAGAGGGTATTTTAGTTACTTTGCGTTAAGGAACAAAATAAGTGAGGAGTAATTGTTAGCAATAAATCGAAGATGATTGGACACTGTAATGCACACAAGCAACAAGGTTTTGCTTTGCAGGAGAAAAATATGATAGAAAGTGCCCGAATGGTAGGCGCTGAGCTAGTAGAAACCTTTGGCACCTCTCATATTGAAACCAGCCAAAGAGTTTATTTTATATGAAACAGTGATTCTGGTATTACTGTCATTGATCCCTTTGTTGTTTCTTGAAGTTTCATGAAATCAAAAAGGATTATAAACCACGGTTGGATAAACATCTGATATAATTCAGAATTTTTCTAACGGGTGGCGACAACCATTATTTGCTGCCGAAATAGTGGAAGTTTTCACATTTTCGAGAAGACACTAGATCTTCACAACGAGAGCCACTGGAAAGATCAAGATAAGTCATTTGCTACACGATCATTAGCACTGAAGATTGAAGACATGTGTTACAGTTACAAATATCTTTTTTATTGTATGGTACGTCTGGAAAACAAGAGGCATGCACTACTGTATATTCGTATCAACAAAAACCCCGGGAAATCAGGCTATTATGGAGATGTTTAACACAGAATTAATTTACACGTCGCTAGACGAAGTGGTAAGGTTGAAAAACCACCCTAATGCGCGTGTAATTTTTCGGGTATACAGATTAAAAGGACTTAAGATATGAACATACCCTTTTAAGCCATTTTGTGTGCAGTCAGTTACAAAATTAATTCGTGACAAGACTACTATTTCATTTGAAAATTCAGTTGAAATAGACGGGACTAATGCTCCGTCATTTGACCATGTAGAACGTCCATTCGCTAAAAAAAATGCTATGGGTTATGGAATTTACATTTACCTGAACGAACTAGAGAACTTGAATTTGGACAGCAATTATGAATGATATTTTTATTTGGTTGCTCAGGAAGCGTGAACAACTGGATGCATTGGAAAGATAGAGGACAAAGTGACAAAACCTATTTGTTCATTTTATGTATAATATTCATACCTGACCATCTTTTGTGCCAAGTGAAATAGCTTTATCAAATAAACTCAAATCAAGTGTAGTTGTTTTTAAGACACTAAGGGTCTGAATTTGTTTGCATGCACATATGTCCCAAATTCCACAGGTAAGGTCTTCAGATAACACGAAGACATAGTTTGGAGTAGAAGGATGAAAACCAATATCTTTGACTTTACTTAAGTTTACACCAACAGTTATCAGAGTATTCTTGTTTTTCTGGGAAGGTTACGAAGGGTATCAACCAACCTCTAAGCGACAAGCTTTCAAACACTTTCTGTCACCAACCACGACGACTGAGAAGGATGGATTAACACATACTACTGGAGGGCCTTCCGCCACATACTCTAAAAATTCTCTGCGAGATATTTTATGAAAATGAGTTAATGACTTACATTTTCTCGACATTCTTTGGCACATCAACCAATTTAGAAAACTTTAAAATTCCGATTCCGCTACCATCAACAAAAACTATAACAATCCCAGAAAATATCAGCTGAATGCGAAGAAAATTTATAAAAGTGCTCGACTTGTGAACGAGATCAAACTTATTGCTTAAAAGAATGCTATCTAGAACTTACGATTGGCAAATCTGAAATGCAAGCGTAGCATATTTTATCAGGAGACTTTTTGGATGTGAAAAATACGACATTTTCTCTGATGTCAAGCAGACAGTATCCACCAACAGCGAAAAACTCCAGGTATGGGTCTCCATACATTAGCACTAAAGTGTTACGGAGTTCAAATTAACGCCAGGTCACTGTCACTAGGACAAACATAAAGCCGTACAACATCCAGCACTTCCAAAATTATACAAAATGTCTTTTCACCAGCTTGTGTGAAGTAATTGGTTTCTTCTCACTTGCTTCTAGGTCTTACGGAACGGTCCCGGGTTTATAAGGGATTCCGGTGTTGTAGGTCTACCCACTCACCAGCTGTAGCGCTGGTTAGGTGTTGATTAAATTTGCAGGGATTGTATGATTTTGCCAAAGACTATGGTGCAAATAGGCCCCACAAGAGTAGTTCTGGCTAGGATTTGTTCGACACTATTTGTCGAAAAAAGATAGGAAGAAATGATGGCCGGTGAAATCAAGGGAGAGGAAGTGCGAAAAAGAAAATGAAAAGAAGTGGAACGGAGGGAAGGAAAAGTATAGATATATTTGGAGGGGACAATGCTGATAGCGGGAACCTTAATAACTGGGGCGCGAACACACAGCAGAAGGAGGAGTAGGTGGAAATAAGATTATAGGATTCTTTTTGGGAATAGAAATATTGGTGTTACTAGTGGAGGTATGATAAGACGCCTAACAGTATAGTTGAAAGCCAGGTCCGTGTAAGGAAAATAGTGAAAGTACAGAAGATTCTGTATGGGGTTTACTATACTGAAACTGTCCGAAATCATTTGGTTGCCTTAAGCCAGTCCGTATCCCGGCTAAATGAGCGCAAGCCGTGAGTCGCTGCTTAGTTGTCCACCCTCTTCTTGAAGGTGTTGATATGCAAGGCAGTAGCATTCCTAGCAGTCGTTGTGTTCTGGAGACTGCAAACTAGAGTGTAGAAAAAGCCTGAATGCGCATGAATTTTCGCACTTCAATAGGCCACTCTCCTTGGGTTACCATGAGGCTGCTCGCAGGTCTCTACTGTTCGGGTGCCTCGGATTACTAAGCTTTTGTCAAGTCACCACGTAACCTACGGTAACTAGGGGGATAAAGTCCTGTACTTTTTGGCCTGGTTCTACAGGGTTTTTGACACGTTCTCACAACACCCTTCATAATCGCCTATGAACTTTCCCCATGCAGCTCGCTTCCATTTTCAGGTTTGGTGGCGTAGTGACGTTATGGACCTCTAAGTGTGGTGACATATTGTTCATTCAGAGCTTTAGAGAGTGTCTTAGAGTGAGGGCACCTAGCTGCGCTGCATAGACTGTTGAGAAATCTCCCTGATAATTAGGGCTAGTTTTTAGCTTGCCAGTCAGTATGAGTCCTAAGCAGTGGTGTGGGAGAGTTGAGTTACCTAAAGACTGTGGTGCACTATATGCGAGTTGGGGGTGCTAAGAGACATGCTTTCGAGTTTATCCAAGCCAAATCCTGGTTCGTTCCTATTCGGCCATTCCACAGACAATCTGAGGTCACTTTGGTGCGCACATAGTTCCCTTTTGGGTGTCATGGCTCTCCGTAACTTAACATCGTCAGCATCATGTAGAATCGGAAGGTTGAGACTTAATTGAAGGTCACTCACAAGAGGAAGGAGCAGCGCCCTCTTAGCTGCACCAGATGATGTCCTCCAAGCCGAAGGAAGCTTGTTATTTTTCGCCTAAATAGTTCAGCATTCAGGATAGTCTGATGGTTGATACCAAATGGCGTGTGAGACTGTGTCAAGTAGCTTAGAAAAATCCAGGAGAATCGTCTGACACGGGGACTTGAAGTTCCCAGTATGTCGTCCAGTTATCACCTGCTGCCCGAAATTTGACACGCACTACCTGCCCTTTCTGAAGCAGCGTTGAGCATCACTCAGTCCCACCCCTTGTCCAAACAATCTCCGGCATGTCACCTAGCAGGATCTCGATTACTTTTGACGGCACTGATAAAAGTGGCACGAGCCGATAGCATTTCGGGTTTCGCTTGACTCCTTTGAAGATGTTAGGAAGAATAATATGTTTCCACTCCAGTGGAGGGAGTTGTTTGCATAGAAAGTGTTGAAACATCCACGGAACGGACTGCATAAGGCACCCATGCGCTAATTCAGCACAGACGATCGAGTTTCACCCCATCCCGCTGATTTTCCTACACGGCGTCTTAAAAGTTCATCAAGAAAAGCAGCAGGTGTCACCTTTACGCCACGCAACTCTTCTGTCTTGAGTGGCGCCGAAAGTTGCTCGGGTAATCGGTTATATTGTGGCGTGGTGGCGTGGCGTGTCTAGCTGCATCAGATGTGGAGGTGACCTCCTGTCTAGACCGCTCCCCCGAGTTCTTCCCTTCCATTATGTAGATCCCCTGGATGGTAGGTTTTTTCTCTGTGTTGAATCATTATCGGCTTCCGGGTTCGCCAGGGGCTTCCGCACAAGGTTTGTCTGAAACGTCCTCCTTCTCCTCTCACTTTCATGTTGAATCCATCCCTTGGAGCCAATTATGCACATGATCTGGCTGTCTTCCGGAGATCCCATAGTGGTGCCATGCTTCATTTTCTGGCTTTCTAGGGACGCACTGAGCGCCACGCTTTAACCACGAGATAAGTTTCCCTGATATTGTTGTGACTGCTGCGGCGTTTTCAGGCATGGCCCGTCAGTGGTGTCACGAAGTAGCTGTTAGTGTTGACAGAATAATAAGGCACTCCACTCTTGGGGCCATGGTGCTGTCGACAGATATTGGTTCACCATCACGCACCTTGCCTTGCGGTGGCAAAGACGAAGGCGAGATCCCTCCCCTGATGGCTGCTTACTAAGTACCAGGTCAAACGCTGCCATACGGTGACCGTTCTACTGAGAAAGGTCTCGGTCTGAAGGCATTTCTCGGACGGACGGTCCCTAGTAAGAGGACAGCCTATTCCTGCCACCTTTCTGCCCTCACCCAGTGAGCGTCTTCGCCAACATTTCCAAGCAGCCCAGCCTTTTTGATGGTGTTGATTAGGTCCCAGTCAGATGACTGTCTGGTAGTTGCCCTGTCCTGCCGAACGTTGAGAGTTAGGGCACAAAAATTGCTCAGTATGACGACGTAGTCATCAATGTGTATATTACTTCGAGCAGTTGCCGATTCTACTCCATGATGCTAGTAGGGTTTCTGTAGGTTCTCTTGGCAAGTGCTCAGTATATCCGACTCTGAGGTGGCATCAGCTGTGGCCTTGAGGCCATGACAGCAAAGCTTCGGCGGCTCGTTCACCTTCGAGATAGTCACCGACAAATATTGCCACTCCGCTTCCCTCCTTGTGTACCCTGTCTCTTTTCAGCAGGCGTATACCCTCCACGCTGGCTTCGATACCATGATATCCGACGGTAACAAGGTTCTTGGCTTGTAGTCTGTAGAGTGAGATAGGAGCAGACAGATCTTAGTACCGCCGTTCCACTTCAAGTCCCCTCATGTTGCTGGAAAGACACTTCGAGGAGCTTCTCAAAACATGGAGTGTTTTGGCGATGTCGGACAGCAGGGAGTCATGGGCAAAGTTGTTACTGGCCAGCCACTTTCGACAGAACCGGCTCAATTAAGTTTTTCACCAGTGGCCTCTGGAGTTATTATCACGCCAGAATCAAGTTGGCTGTCGTTTCGTCAGTTTACAGGAACAGTGACCCCAGCATGAAGAGCGAATGTCATTAGTTGTTGTCGCAGTGCTCTTGGCCTGCTTTCGTCATGTCGAACGTTCTCCGTGAAATTTTCTCCGGCTGCTTATCATATTTGCAGTACCTTGGTTAGAGGCTCTGGGAATATGAGGTTAATAGCCTTGAACTTGACCGATAACTCTATTTTCAAATGTGGCTAATGTGGGAGCCTACAGATAACTGTCACCGCTTTTGCATTCCGCTCCACGCTTTCCGACAAACACTGGCATTATTAGACATCAAAAATATGGTTTTTAGTGATGTGCTAATTGTTCGCTTTGGTGGGCCTTGAGTAACCATGGGTGTTGGTTTCGGCGAGTGTTGTGTTTCTCTTGATATTTTTCTCGGCGGCCATCACTCGTCTGACCCAGCCCTAATGTTGGATGACTGTTCGATGACTAAAGTGTGTAACAGCAAGCGGAACCCTTCAGCCTCTTTAGCAGAGCCCGGAGCCACCTTAATTGGTGCTGGCTTTCGTTGAGGTGGATGGCCGCCCTTTTAAGGAAGGCACAGTGTTTCCCCATGAACCGCCTGACCACCGTGTGCGACGCGCTCCTTCACGTTGCTGTTTGTCAGGCGTCTCTCCTTTACCAAAAGGCCATCATGACATACAGGAGCGCTAAATAAGGTGATGGATATACTTCCTCTCACTTTCATTTCAGTTCTCACCTTGGTAACTCTAAATGAATACTCGATCGTAGTTCGTGGTTGCCTCGACTCTGCATCGTCTATAGACTTCAGTTCCCCTCGGAGGCTTTTCAATGAGAGACATTTTCCGGTTTACGCAAGGCCACCCAGAGCTTTCAGTTAAATTTTTTAATCAAGAGAGAGGCGTATATCTGGCGGTAAGATTCTTGGCGTCCTTTCCCGCTCTTGAGCTTTCTTTTCTCTTGTGCTTTCGGCATCAACCTGACAAGAAAATCTTGAGCATTAATTTGATCAAAATGTATCAATTTACTGGAAATCCTGCTTCGTGTGTAATACTGGAAATCCTTGTTAGAATTCCTCAGGCGACCTGTCCTCGATTCTCAGTTTTTCGAACAGCCTCACAAGCAACTCATCTGTTAACCGGTACCCTAAACGCCACCAGACACGAAGCCTCATGCTCTATAACTGGTCTCTGATTTTTGTCTCACCCTAAATGCAGCGGAAATCTGGACAAACAACTATAGCTTAGAGATCACCTTATCAAGTGAGTCTAAAGTCAACATATTGGCAATAATGCTACGCAACAGATTTTTGTAGTACTTCATCTTACATGAATCCATCTGATAGAAGACAATTAACAGTCAGGCAATGAAAATTAGCATGAATGCCGAGTCTCGTCGAGTCCCAGACTGTTGATTCTGGAGAAGTTTGTGACGCTAGAATATCCTCTTGACAACGCTGTGTACTTCGGTGTGAAATCCACGGAGTCTTACATGTGTGAAATCCACCACCATTGAACGACGGTTCTTCTAA